CGCGCCACGCCGACACACATAGAGGCTGCCATTTTGGAATGCCAATGGCAATAGAATGACCGTATTCATTTTTTTCGTGCTCAATTCTAACGCGCGTGCAATTTATGAACTCGCTTAACCGGAAAAAAGGTGCGCGTTAGATTCGAGTAATTAGGGTAGTTGATCGCAATAAAGTTATCATTCATGTTTATGATCACCTGTATTTTGTTGTGGTTCGAATTCGGGATGATACGAATATTTTGAGTGTTCCCTCCGAATTCGCATCATCGAGATTTTACAGTAAATGTTTTTTTTCTGTTTTACTCGAGACTATACTCTGGTGAGAAGTTTTTTCTCGCGTTCGCTACCCCCAAATTACACCCCAGACTATATGCGGATCCAAGCTATATGTGGTGTTTAACGGTATGTATTCACCAGGTTTCATTGCATACAGCAAAACCTTGACAACAGAATCCCAATTTGCACAATTTCCTGGTGCCAACATTCGTGAGAAAACAAAAACTTAACGCTACGTTGACAAATTTTTAGTGTTTTACCGCATCGATCAATTTGACCCTTGGCGAACCACCGGTGCGATATTTGACGTATTTCAGCATGAAATGAAGCAACTAGAAGTAACGTCTTTAGCTTATTTCGGATGACAAGGTACGATTTCTGGACTTAGAAATGCTTTTTTTTGGTGAACCAAGTCTGTTCGCGGTACGAGCCACGCTCAAAAAAATGCCTTCTTCTTTTTACGGCCGTCTATTTTAAGCTAGTCAAGCGAAGCATCGCTTTTACATGCCTAAAGGTAGCTTTAACTCACTCTTGTCACCACCAGATAGAATGCAGATTTTCGCACCAAATTCAAGACCGCAGTTTCGCCACACCAGTTTCGCACCTCCTTCAACAAGCAGGTTTTTCCTGATCCCCGGCTAACTTTCATCGCCGAGACTCTCCTCACGTCACTAAGAGTGCCTGATAAGGGACAAAGCAACAGCCTACTCAACAAGCCTCATTCTAGCACGGATGTCGTTCCGTACGTACACAAGGTTTCTCATTGGCTAAAGAAGGTAGCTGGCAAAAATAGGTGTAACAGTTGTGTCCTGCGCACGCGACAAGCTCCTAGGGCTATGTCGCAGGGTCAACAGTTAGGGACCTAAGAAAGAAGCATGCACTAAGAAACACGCTACGCTCTATATTGAACATGTTTTAGGAATTGTATACAAGATATTGTCGCAGTACAATGCGAACAAAGCACAAGTACGCCTTGAGGCAGCGAAAGCAGCGTGTTCTCAACAGTGGAGCCGCAAGATCTTCTTCCTCGTTCTCGCGTCAAGCCAGAGGCCCACTACCTGGTGTCCGCTAAATCTTACCATCATCGTTTTTGTCCACATGTAGACACGGGTCAATATTGTTTACTTGTGGGCTCTGTTACATTGGCCAAACAGGCCGATGCATAAATGATCGGTTGAAAGAGCACGCTAACTCTCTAAAAGGCTCCGTTCCCAGCCACTTGTCAGGCCATTGTAAAAAGTGCGGTTATCAGCCCATTTTTGACAAGTGTGTGATCATATGGTGATGTAAAAATTAGCGTGAGGGCGAGATTAGCGAAGCCTTTCATGAATTCAACAACTTAATGCTACCTGTGTTAGCGTACTCTGAATTTTTCTTCACGGTTGAGAAATTAGTTATCTGGGGTTTACTGATATGACTTGCTCTTGACAAGGTAAGCCGTTTGGCACATGTATGTCTGATTTTGCTGATGTGGCGTGGTTATGCGCAGATTCTGTCTTCCAATAAATTGCAGTTGGTTTGCAATAAACTTTGCCTGTTAGTTCAGAGCCCTGTTCTACAGTGCAGTCCACTTATAACGATACCACATATAACGATATATCGGTTATAACGATGGGTCGACTTAACAGTCTCATTTTATGCATTGGGGCTATGGGGAAAAAAACCATATATAACGATATGTTATCCACCGCATATCGAATACAACGATGAAAAGTTTGCCGTGGACGGCATGTTTCATTCAGAATAATCGTAACATTTAGATTGATAAGTTCCTCTGAAACGAACTATGCCGAGACAAGACGAAAAGTTAGCGTAGGCGAGTACGTATCTGCCGCCACTGCAGCACAGCGCCGGCAGCGCGTCCCGGCCGTTCAAAAAGCCGAGGAGAGCATCGCGAGTTGGCGCGACGCGCTACAGATGGCGCGAGCTGTGTCACGTTTTGCGCCTCGCCGCGCGTCGACCGCGGAGAGGCTGAGAGAATTTTAAAAAAAAATGCGAAAAGCAAAGCGCCGCGGCGGCATCGGGGCGGGGCCTCGTTGGCATTCCGGCTGTGTACCTCTGGCTGTGCTTTCTTCCTCCCACTGCTCCCACCCCGCCGTCGGTCAGTCTCTCTGGCTGCTCGATATGGACAGTGTCATCGATAGTCAGGGGCGGAAGGTGGTGTTGCTGCTTGATAACTGTAGCGCACACAGCGTGAGCCCGAAGCTGACATCAATTGAATTGATGTTCCTGCCGCCGAATACGACGGCAGGCTTGCAACCGCTAGACGCCGGCGTGATTGCTAACTTTAAAGCGTTGTACCGGCGACGCATGCTCGAGTGGCTCGTGTTAACGATTGACCGCTCGGCTCCCGGTACGTCGGGCAATGCAGGCGGGCCCTCTTATGCCCCTGATCTGAAGATTAGCCTTCTAAAGGCCGTGCGCTTCGTTTACGGCGCGTGGTACGAGGTGAGGCAGACCACCATTCAGAACTGCTTCAGGAAGGCAGGCTTTGTGCGCCAGGACTAGCCTCCCTCGTCTAGCGATAGCGACAGCGAGACCGGCACGGAAACTGCAGATCTGACGGAGCTCTGGGAGCACGTCGCTACTGTTGATGCAGATAGCGGGTGTGTCGCGTCGGTTGAGGACTTCCTGACGGCAGACAGTGCTGCTTCGTTCTGCGATGAACTCACCGACGAGGCAATCGTCGCGGATGTGTTGTCGCGACAGGCGGCGGCGTTGTGCGATGGCAGCGACAGTAGTGATGAGGAGGTTGACAGCGCCTCTACGACCTCGTCGATGACGACGCAAGGTGCACTGATGTCTATCGACTCCCTGATTGACTTTATGCACATCAAAGGAATGCCGCCAGAGTTTTCGCAGCAGCTGGAAGCTATGCGCACCGCGGTTGTGAAGCTGAAGCTTCCGCGGAAGCAACTGCAGATTTCGGACTACTTCGGCGTGCCGAACCCGTGATGCGTTCTTCGGAGTAAGAAATAGTCTTGTTTTTGACATCCTACTATCTACAATATTTATCAATTGGTGAAAAATAGCGAAATGAAGCCTGGAGCTACAAAAGGTACGTCCGGCGACGATTTTTTGGCGGCAGTCCAGATATAACGATTACCGGTTATAACGATCATATTTTTAGGTTTTCTCGATATCGTTATAAGTGGACTGCACTGTATTTCCTTGTGATCCATCAGTGTAGAGCAGGGCTTGGCAACCTGTGGCTTGCAGAATGGTACTATGTGGACACCGGGACGAGGTCATAACACTAGGCTTGTGCAAATAGTGAGCATATGGGTTCGAAATGAATAGTAATATTGTTAAAACAATTTTGCATCGAATTCTCATAGTATATACGCATATATATTAACAAAAAACGGGCATATTTGTTATGACCTAACAAACCTCCATCATATTTTCAAGAAATAGAAACAAGGCCTGTGCAAATATCATTATTTTTGGTTCAAAGGAAGTGGAAACAGCTTTAAATACTAGCAGTATTTGACTTTTGGTAGAATCCAAGTGATAACCTATAAAATATGTCACGCTTTGAAATTTACTACATTTACAACATATAAGCTGGTATAACAAGTTTTTAAACTTACAAATGATGCATCGATGGGAGGGTGGTAAGTTCATTTAACCTTAAAATAAAACTTTGTGACAATGCAAATTTCCCCTGGACAAGTGTTTTCACAGCTTAGCATCCCTTTACTGCAGTGAAGCCACTTTTACATCAAATTACATGCGACTGATGTACACAATATTCCGTTCATTTCAAATACTTCAAATTTTGAACAATTTAAAATTGAACACAGCAATACTAGTTGGAATATACCCACAAGCATACAAAACACCCCACCACCCTAACAAACTGATGAATTCCTCCAAGACTTTTAGCATCTCTCAGTAAGCAACCTTAATGTGGATATTTGCACGTTGGCTAAGAATGTTCAGCAACAAGTCGAATTCAAAGAGCAGTATCCTATTCTGCCTGTAACCGATGTTAGGAAACTGAAACTTTAGAATATGCATACTGAAAATAAGCATGATTTATACTCCGTTTGAATGCAAAGCCCCACCCTCGCCCCCCTTCCGATTTGAGCCCCTACTGTGTTGGCTTCATGCAACTCTGCCTTCCGCCTCAAGAGGCTGCCGACCCTTGGTGTAGAGTATTGAGCGTGGGGACCAGTCCTTGGCTTCTGACAACAATGACTTCACACAATTGTTTTGGCAGACACTACCTTTAGGCATGTCACTAGGTGTAAACCCTATCGCTGTTTACAAAAACAGGTGCTGAATGGCTTCCGGTTCTGTGTGCTGGCGTAGCCTAGCAGTATTGGTGAGGAACAGAAGCCCTGAAGAGTAGCCAGTTCATTTTCAAGAGTTTTCTTCCTGTGTCTGGTCAAATATTTAAAATGCACTTTCTTGCTAGATACAACACTATAAATGTTAGTCCTTAACTTTGAACACCTCCCTTTTACCTTAAAGTGGAAAAAAGGTCTTCCTTTACTCAAGCACAACTTAAGATGTAAGATTTCTGCTTTGGTGCTTGAGTGTAATAAATGAGGTGAGTGGAAGTTTCTTGGTAGCAACACGTGCTGCTGCTATTATAATGTTGAAACTGACCAAAAAGGCAAATACAGTGTGTCATATAACCACCACAGTAAGCTGATTTATGATGAAAAATGCAAATCGCGTGCCTTTGACAATAAAGCAACAACACACAGACTCACAATTGCACTGCTGATTGCATGCTTGCCATTGTTGAAGTGGAACTGCATGTTATATTCTCCAGACTTTTCTGGAACCCTCACTTTCCTGAAACAGGAGAAAGAACAAAACAGTGATCGTACAGCCTACATTGAGCAATAATCTTATGCAAAGGCACATGAGATACCTGAAGTGGTAAAAGCCATTGGAAGATGTGTTTTCAGCTGGAGCTACTGTGAATACCTTGAGAGCAAAATATTATGAAGGGTTTAGTGATCTCTCATAATCCAAATATGGTACGCTTACCACACAGTTATAAGATCTTTCAAGAAATGTTACGCACCTTTTGGTGGTTCTTCGGGGCACAGTCTATACGAGTCAACTTCATGCTCAATTGTTTACCCAGGACAGAGCACATGACGTTGCCATCTTCTGCGACCACGTGCACAGTTGTCTCTGTGAAGGAAAAAAAAAGCAAGTAGAGCACAAAAATGTGCATTACATACTCGGCCCATGAAGCTTTATATATATACAGTCGAACCCCTTTATGAGAGACACTGATATAAGAGAATTTGAGTATAAGAAACACCAGTGTGCCTACAGTAAAATACGGGTTGATAGGAAAATGCATGTGTGGTACTGTGCTTATAAAAACATTTTATATAAGACACAAGCATTGCTGTCCAGAGCATGCCTCTTATAAAGGGGTTTAACTGTATCCCCCACCCCCAAATGTCTCTTTTCATTCAACATTTCACAAATCCTTCAAATTTAAAAAAAAGTATGGTCACTAAACAGGGCAATGACATCATTAAATAGTCATTTTTAACATAATGGCCTTGACATTATGGTGTTCATTAACAATGAAGTATGGACAAATGCTCATTTCCTTCAGTAGCAAATGTAGTACAGTCGAGCCCACTAGTAACGATACCATTGATAACAATATAACAAATATGACAAACAGCGATGACACAGTCCACTTTTGTATGCTTTGTATGATAAAATAAACCACTTATCACCATGCTCCAGTGCCATGATATCAAATATAGTGATTGAATCTGGCTGCAGCGCGCATCGAAGATGGCTCTCCATGTCGAGTGCGCCCTCACGGTGCAAGGCTATTTCAGGCAGGCAGGCTTCATTCAACAACGTCGTGAGAAGGAAGTAGGCAAGGAGGACGCGATACCAGGAGATGCCTGCGAAGCTGCATCAGATCTGGATGACCTTCTTCATGCATACAATGTTGCGGCAACATCCTAATGCCCCAGTGATGAGGAGAGCATTGCGTGTATATGTGTTGCTGAGTGCAGTAGGTATGGTGGCTCGGACGACATGGTTGAGTAGCCTACCAAGCTACCATGATCAAAAGAGGCCAGATTGATGATACAGTGCTTTCATTCATAGACTTCCCTAAATTTAATGAGAGGCGCTGCGACTGTTCAGCGACCGTGGGAATGATCGGTAGTACACAAATTTGCTTACTCTTCATGCTTGCGGGCTTCGAACCTTGAGACACCCATTTCCCTCTAAGACACTAACCTAGCTTGTTTTCCTCTACTTTTCTCGCCTTTCTATTGTGAATCACGCCGCCATTACCAATACCTTTCTGAGTAGTGTCTGCAACACTTCTCCCGCTTCCCGCTGGATAACTCCCTTCTATGAAATCCCAGAAAGACAAGTATGGCCTTGCCCGCATGATCAGGACAAGACACTAACTTAATAGAGGAAGAAAGACACGCTGAACCCAAGAATGCACTCAATGTCCGAGCACTCAATGCACTCAATGCAAGAGCACTCAATGCAAGAATGCACTCAATGTCATTCTTGGGTCAATTCGACCCAAGAATGCACTCAATGTCCGAGCAAACACATACAAATGGCACAACATGAATTCCACATGCATGTTATTGTGATGGCCCTGTCACAAGGCTGCCAGCGTGAAACAAAGTTGAGCCAACAAGAATCAACAAAGAGCAACTTGCCTTACCAAGGTTCGTTGGTGCTCGTTTATAGGAGTGCTGGTCAACAGTTACATTAGCATTTTGTAGCAGAAATAGATTACATGCACATGGCCAGACGACTTGAGAATAAAAATTTGCATAGCCTTGCTACCATGACAGTCACAAATTCAGATAAGGGCAGATTTCGTGAGGTACCCTTAAAATGTCCTAAGATAGACTTTTGAGAGGTCCCTTTACATTTTCTGAGTTCACATAATAAAAGGCTGCCTTTATGAGTAAGGAAAGAGAGTTGTAGCTTTACAACAAAGTCAAGCAACTAAACAGCCACCCTAACCAAGTTGCAACACTGGCAATGTGATTTATTCATAAGCACAAATATTGAGAATTGACAGGTCTAATCAAATCATTTAATTGAAATTTGAAACTAGAATACTTGCATACCCCTATCACAAATGCACATAATGGTATTGCCAATTCCCTCCCTAGGTGCCACACTGTTGTGGCGCACACAGCAAGCGTCATTCAGCCCAAGTGCCATAGTGCGTTCGTTGTTGTTCTTCCACTACAACCGAGCAGTATCGAGCAGAATTCTTGCACCAATTGGTGGCATTTGAAGGAAGAAAATTGAATAGGTATGGAAACAAGAAAAAAAAAAGAGGATAAGTGAGGGAGGGCCTGCCCTACACATGTGTTCATCCGTTCCAGTCCAGCTATTCTTTAGATTAAATAATGAAGAGGATGAGAGTACAGGGAACACATGGAATGACAGGTGGCAGAACATTGTCCTTCCCTTCTGAGAGATAACTGCCAGAACAAATATACCTGGCAATTCATCAGCCACAGTGTAGGTCTTTTTCCCTTTGTAGTCCACGTTGAGCTCCACTGGCTTTTCTGGGTCACAAGTCAAGTGCAGTTTCAGCACAGGGCCATTGATGATAGTCCTGCCGATGGTAGCCTTTGTGCCAAGCGTGAAGAGACCTCGGCAGTTGGTGGAACAGATGTTGAACTCGCACGGCTTAGGAGCGACTCTGCACAGAGGAGACAGCTGCTACTGCTCACGTGACTCGGAAAGGAGCCAGCAGTGACTGCACACACATCATAACAGTCAAGGTGTACCTAAGCAGAATGTGGTAAACAAAATCAGCAAGAATTCTGAAATATACACTAGTAGAGAGCTTATGCTTTGCATGCAATGTGTAGTGCTTGCCTGTTTCTTCCCTAAACTTTAAAAGTGCACTACAGCCTGTCTGCAAGAAGTGCCTCATTGTTTTTCTGCCAAGTTTTATGCATCCCAAAGGAAATGGTTGACTTCGCCATTTTCTTGTGCACAGTTCGAAAACACGGATAGGCACCAAACACTAAGCACAAAAATAAAGTGATCTGCTGACACAACTGAGATGACTTGCAGGTTTTCCAAAAAAAATATGACCGCGGCATGCTTTGATTATAATTTCACTTTTTTGTCACGGGCTGCCCCATTCTGATGGAGCAGAGTTGGCGTGCTAAAGCTACTAGGAAACGTAGAAGTGGCACCACATGGCGGTATTCGTGTAAAAGGAGGATGCAGAAGCCCAACCGGTTCCGCCACTGGAGTACACTCTAGTTCACTATAATGACTACAGCCCAGGCCGCTTAGGACGTGGATAGTATTGGATCTGATCCAACCTGGATTGCTGTATTTACTATTAATTTCCATCTCCACTCATTTTGTACACCTCTAAAACATACCTTTCAGCAAAAAATATTAACTACTACTTGCGTATTCTGTGCACCTTGCCTTGATGCCAACTAACAACAATGCCGCCAGAACAGAGCTGTGCTACAAAATTTTGTTTCTTTTTTTCTTACTTATTCTTTATTGTTAAGCAGAGATCAAATGAGCTGGCCCATCCCTATCGCTTGGAGGGCACATACAACGATAACATCCCCCTGCGTGTTAGAACTGCCGTTGAATGCAGAGAAAAAACAAGCCGCCTTGAACGAGCATGAAAAAAAGCGCGAGGGGGGGGGGGGGGGGGGAGTTCGCTTGAGTAGCAACAGTGAACTTTGACTTTAAGGGTGCAGTCGCGATCGCTAGCGCGCATACTATCTTGGCAAGCATCGGTGCGCTTTAAATGCGAAGAGCTTGTACTAAAAGAGTGCTTCTCATTGGAGCGGCCGTATTCGCTTATACTAACGTTTTGTAGGAGTTCCTTGTTATCGGATCCAGAAGAGTTGGCCAACAGCCCTACTTTGTATATTGTTACAATATGTTGCTAACGCACTCATTGAATTGCATTCAACGTGCCATTGTGTTGCCAGAGCTGATCGACTAATCGCGAAAGCCACGATCCCATGAACTCGCGGCATGGCATAAGATGGAAGTGCGTGACAAGTCGACCTTCAAAGATCCGTCATTGTCATCGTGGTTGCCATCAGCACCTCATGCGACATCTCCTCAGTAGTGACATAAAAAAAAGAGAGAGAGAAAAAAAATGCTGCCCCTGCATCTTCACACAAAGTGAACTCAAGTAAATGCGTCGCAGAATGGTGGGGGTATCGCGCGAATGTTAAGCAATTGGGTACGGTTTGGGAACGCTCAATTGTTACTTAATCTTTATTATTCTTATTTATGGAATGAAGGAGAAGTGTTGCCTTCAATGAGTTGGGGGACACTGAAGTGCGATCCAGTGCCTACATATACGGGGTGTCCAGTGAACGGTTGTCCATCTCGAGCAGTTGCTTTTTACTAGCAGACGCTGCCTGCGTCAGCCATGCAAGGCGAGATATGGGGGGGGGGGGGGGAGCAAAAAGTTGGCACTAGGTGCAAGCAAGCGGCATGATATGTGAGCATGCGGACTGGAGATGTGGACCGCAGCAACACACGATGCGTGACATCGAGCGACTAAGAAATGCTCCACACTTAAAAGCAAAGCTGAACATCGTCCGGGACCACACATTGCGCACAAACCATGCATGCATGCAGTGGCGCTCAAGTAGATGCAGTGTTCCTTGACTTCCGGAAAGCCTTCGATACCGTCCCACACAATTTGTTAGAATTTGCAATGCTCTCTGCAAACATAAACCTTAAAGTTATCAATTGGGTAAAGAACTATCTAAACGATCGACAGCAGAACGTAGTGCTTACTGGATCAAAATCATCTGCGGTAACCGTTACGTCCGGTGTACCACAGGGGAGCGTATTAGGACCTTTGCTTTTCCTGATTTCTATTAATAGCATAGTGGATGGTATTACATCTCCCATTAAGTTATTTGCAGATGATTGTGTAGTGTTTAGAGTGATCAAATTGCACAAAGATGCTGAAATTCTGCAGCATTATCTGTACCGAATATCAACGTGGTGCCAAAAAATGGAAAATGAGTCTAAACGTCCATAAATGTTGCTGCGTATCGTTCACCAACCGGATTAGTAAACTAGACACAACATACCAAATAAAAAATTCATTATTAGCAATGAATCCTATTACAAGTATCTGGGCGTCTATTTTTCCGACAATTTCAAGTGGAATAAACACATCGACATAACTGTGACCAAGGCAGGCCGGATGCTATACCTCATACGCAGAAATTTTAGGCAAGCTTCACAGACCGTGAAGCAAACCGTTTATCTCATGTATGTAAGACCTATTCTAGAGTATGCTTGCGTAATCTGGGATCCCCATCAGCAATACTTGATTGACGCATTGGAACAAGTTCAAAACCAAGCAGCCAGATTTGTTAGCAACAACTATAATTCCTTTGCAAGCATCACAGAAATGAAACGAGCATTGAAATGGGAGACACTGATGGTAAGGAGGCAGAAACTGAGGCTTAAATTTCTTCATTGTATATATTATAATGGAAATGCCATTAACCCTCTTGATTATCTGTTCACACCAAGGTACATCTCAAATCGTCAAGACCATTCACGAAAAATATTAGAATACCGTTACAAAACCGTAGTTCTTTTTTCGTAAAAACAATACAGGAATGGAACCGTCTACCGGATGATCTCGTCAATGAAACTGATAATGAATCCTTTTTTTCTTCCTTGTAACAACTCCTACAATATCACTGCCACTAAGAATGGTTTGCTGTCTTGAAGCGTGTGGGTGTTTACAAATGCATGACTGTGATGTTGTTTCCGCTCACCAATATTCGAGTGTTTTTTTTCTTCTCTTAAAATATTTTGAGTGCTGAATTATTTGTTGAATGTATTGTTTCGATTGAAAACTATGTAGTCAAATTATTATGTGTACGTCCCCTACGTAACGCCTCACGGCGATGTAGGTGAAATGTAAATAAATAAATAAATAAATAAATAAATAAATAAATGCACAGCATGGAAAACAAAGAGCAGACGACACGTATACCGCTGAAAACTATTCGGTAAAGCACCCTCAATGTCCAGCCCGGCCCCATATATATGACACTAACTAAAACAATGGAACTGCTGAAGCAAAAGTAGTATTTCAAGGGCGAAGCTCCTTCTAGCGGCACCCGTTTGTCCCTCGTAGCCGTTGCAGTATGTAAAAAGTATAACATTTTGACCTCCAAGGTGGTGCCGGTGAGAGATTTCTCCTGTGCGTTGTTGAACAATAAAAAACAGTGCTCAATGTACATGCCAATGGCTGCGATTTAGGAATGAGAGACAGGAGCATTCGGCTTTTATTTAACGAGCACGCTGCGATCCCCATTGGCAGTCATTGGCATGTATATTGAGCACTATCTGACAAGAAAGGGTTGCTACGTTATACTCGCTGGGTGTGACCTCCTTAGTTTTAGAAAGGTTTAGCGAGCGTTGGGCCGCAGTGCCATGAATACAGTGAACTAGTATATACCATGAACTCAAGGTGGTTAAAGGTGGGAAGTAGACCCGAAGCGCAAGCCGTAAGAAAGTGTGCGTGTGCCACCTCTCGTTTAGTCCTTGCAATGTCCGCTGGATGGCGGTGCTTCTATATGGGGAATATATGATGAAAAGATGCGAGATGGCGGTACTTGGAGTCTTGAATAGATGGATGAACGGATACACAGACGGATGCATGGATGGACGCATGAACCGACGCAGGGGCGGATGCATGGACGAATGCAGGGACGGACACACGAATATATGCACACACGGACGGGAGGATGGACGCATGGACGGTCACACAGACGGACGCATGGACGGGAGGATGGACGCATGGACGGTCACACAGATGGACGCATGGACGGATGGAAGCAAGAACGAATGAACTGACAAATGCTTGCCCCACTCTCCATCATTCACTCCGTGGATATGCTGCCATTTTCTTTTGTGTGTGTGTAGTTTGGAGGGATGGGGAGAGCATATCCGCGCATGCGCCGCCGCGGCAAGAACGGTGGAAACGCTGGCTCATGGGGCACAGGCCTAACTGCCTACCTAGCGCACACCCGTGCACAACAACGAGTGCTCCCTCTCGAATGGGAGTGGCCGGGGCCACGCCCTGACTGCAAAGTCCGCCGCCGCCGCGTCAGACTTTGTCGGACGCAGAGTAACCTTGCCCCGCCGCCGACGCATGCTCATGCCAAAATGACGAAATCTGGGGCAAAATTCCTAGATTCTCCGGGCCGGAAATTCGTTATACCAAGGATGTCTCCTGCTGTTACTTTGTTACTTCATCGTCATCATCATCAGCCCGACTACGTCCACTGCAGGGCAAAGGCCTCTCCCATGATCCGGCAATCAACCCAGTCTTGTGCTTCCATTGCCACATTATACCCACAAACTTTTTAATCTCATCGGCCCATCTAACTCTGTCTCCCCTTTGTGTGTTTGCCTTCTCTGGGAATCCAGTCAGTTGCCCTTAATGATCAGCGATCATCCTGCCTACGTGCCACGTGCCGGACCCATGTACGAAATTTTTCTTCTTGATTTCAAATATGATATCCTTAACCCTGGCTTATTTCCTGACCCACTATGCTGTCTTCTTGTCTCTTTAGATTACACCTGTCATTTTACTTTCCATTTCTTGCAGCAGCATCTTCAATTTAAGCTGAACCATTTTTGTAAGCCTACAGGTTTCTGCTCTGTAGGTAAGTACTGGAAAGATGCAGCTGTTATATACTTTGCTTTTGAATGTTAGTGGTAGGTTACCCTTCATGATATGAGAATGCTTACTGAGTGTCATCCACCCTATCCTTATTCTCCTAGTTAATTCATTCTCATGGTTCGGCTCTGCGGCTCCTACCTCTCCTAAGGAGATTCCTTTACAACTCCCAGTGTCTCTCTATCTATCGGAAAGTGCCCCGCCACGGTGCTCTAGTGGCTAAGGTACTCAGCTGCTGACCCCCAGGTCGCGGGATCGAATCCCAGCTGCGGCGGCTGCACTTCTGATGGAGGAGGAAATGTTGTAGGCCCGTGTGCTCAGATTTGGGTGCACGTTAAAGAATCCCAGCTGGTAGAAATTTCCGGAGTCCTCCACTACAGCGTCTCTCATAATCATGTAGTGGTTTTGGGACGTTAAACCCCATACATCATCATCACCTATCGCAAAGTGCTGTTTTGTGCCGAGATTGTTGCACATTACTTTAGTTTTGTGCATATCCATTTTCACACCTCCTTTTTTGCTTTCAATGTCCAGTTTTGTAATTGTGAGCTGCAATCAGACCCCTTAGTTACTCATCAAGGCAATTTTATCAGCGAATCACAGGTAACTAAGATAATCTCCGTCAACTATTATCCCAAACTCTTCCCAATCTAGGGTCCTTAAAAGCTCCTGTAAACACTTTCTTACATAGATGTCACAAATACATGTGCTTCTATGAAGTAATGGTAGGGAATTGAAAACTTCATTATATCGAGGAATTCATAATATGGAGGTTCATAATAAGCAGGTTTAACTGTATACCCCTGAATAAGTTCCTTCACAGTTTCACTCCTCCCCTGCAGCCAAACCGCCTTTACAGGAAGTTACATGCTGACTATTATAAACATTATGTCGTCCATTTCAAATACTTCAAAATTTTCAAAATTGTAAATTAAAATGGAAGCAAACTCGAATATGGTAATATTGGTTAGGATATATGCACAAGCCTAACCAGTGTCATTACAGTTGCAGCAAAGTATTTCTGCCTTAACGTAGAGTACGTAAGAGAAAAGGAGAGGAGCTTGGCTGTCATATATTTTAAAAATCTGTACCCTCCAAAAGCAACAAGAAAAGTCCTATATTCTAGGCACTACACTTTCTATAGAAAGGTATGCCTTGTTGAGCCTGTTTCATAGGTTATGGTCATGGTAGGCATTATGAACATTCTGACCAGCAACAGCTTGATTTTTCTTGAGAGGCTTATTTTATCCTCGATAACTACTGCACCCTGAAGCTCGGGTCTATAAGTTGAGAAAAAAGCTGTAGCCACCATGCAAATAAATACTGTATTCACTTGTAATACGTACGGAGTCTTGAGGGCAAGCGTGAGAATGCCGAAGGAAGCCTTTCCTTTGGAGTCCGTCTTCACTGGTTGCTGAGGAGGTATCGCCTGCAACAAAATGCAAGAAAAAAGTTCTATGCGATGGCTTTATACATGCATGAACCAGTGGTATTTACGCTGACACACATACAGCCAAGCCTCATTAAAGGGACGCCGCGAATGATAAGTCTACATTGATGGCCAAAATAACGATCAAGAAACCTTGTAATGCCACTTTCGTGCCAAGGAAATGTTACTTTAAAACAAGATGACCTTTTGGTGGGCCACACGGCGTTAGTGCACTTCAAATAACATGCCTAAAAGGCCTCCTGACGTAGCAATTGCATTGCCCAACGTTGCTCGCCTTTACGGCACAACTGTCGACATACGCAAATGGTTGTAGTAAGAAATTCGTAAACTGGGGTTGTATCGAGCTAGTGTTTTGACAGGCAGACTAGTCTTCCTCAAGGATAGAGCAGAACTAATTTCCTTAGCGCTAGCGAGTATGTTTCATACCCTCTCCTCCATCCTAACGAAGGAGGTTGGATATGCGAGTGTGAAAAGGCAGGGCAAGGGGAGGGGGGTACTAGGACGAATTATGTGAGTGATGAAGCACGTATTTCGTGGGAAAAAAAAAAGAAAGTAGGTGAAGATGTACACATGCCGCATGGTGCCCCAGTTGTGAGAAGTTAACAATGGCATGTTTGAAATTCCTAGACGGAGGGCTTAACTCGCAGTGGTTTTCTTTGTGTATGTTCCATACCGAATTAATTCAAGGGCCCTTTCAGAAAAGTTTATACCTACTGGCTGGAGTGTATTGAACTTGTAAATAAGCTAGAGCTCTGTATATTTTCTGTCTCTTGCGGACCGGAAGTATGACTCAAGAATGTAGAGTCTGAGATCGTCGAAGTTGTGTCCTGCTACAATAAAATGCTGTGCCACTGCTTTCGGTAATTTTTTTGCCGTGCCCACGCAATGACCATTTAACCTAACATTATCAGGCTGTCCTGTTTTGCCAATGTACATAACGTTTTCACTGGTGCTGGTACAATTCGATTTTATGTGGTGGACATAATCAGTCCCGTGTTTTCAACTATCATGTCATCTTGAAGGTGTTTGCAAGTCTTGCATTTTGGACGGGAGCAAGGCGTTACTTGGGCAGTAGAATGAGAGTTTAGTTTTGCATGCTCTAACACGTTTTTAAAATTCCTATTGCAGCGAGACACGATCTTTGGTACTTTGGGAAACACTTTTCTGAGGCGCCCGTTGCTTGTCAATATTGCATAACACTTACGAAAAATATTATTTATGTTTGGGAGCACATTCCTGTATTGGGTTATAAATGCTGGCGGCTGGTTGGGTTGTGCTATGGGGGCCCAAAAGGAGTTCACATACTAATGCCAAAACATTGTAGGCAGTAGGTCAAATCATACTCAAAATAATTAGGCATCAGACTAAAGTAATAAAAGGTAAACTTTAGAATTATGTGTCTGCTTGCTTTCTGTGAGTGACTTTGACACCGCTTCAATTCCTTCGGTTACAGGTATATTCATTCACAAAGAGCATACGTTTAATGTTATCAGAATGGCCTCATGAGAAAGCATTGGTGTTTCATTGATGTTATTTATCATTCGAAGAAAACGAGGTGTATCCTGAACAAAGAACAGCAGGTTGGATGGTATGTTAGATAAATTATGATTTAGAAATTTTCATAGTTTGATATGTGTAGGAATATTTATATGTGTAGGAACCAATGCTCGGAAGGTACGATAAATTCCCTGGCTAGAAAATTCTGTTATAATGTGTTGTATGATATTACTTATGATGTGTTGCAAGCTATAACATACTTTTCAGTTGGGTCTGAGGCCAATTTTCGATACTGGCCATTACTGCTGAGTTGTCTGCCTTTTTATATTTTACTGTAGACCAGATTACTGTACTACCACCCTTTAATGCTGGTTTTATATTAATGTCCTGTATGTTGAGCTGTTGTTTCAAAATGTTGTGTTCAGCATAAGTTAGGTTCTTTAGTTTACGACTCTTAGTCTTTAGACTTTAGTTTAGTTGTACTCTGGATTTCTTTTGAAACTACTTTCACCATATTTACTCGCGTAAAGAACCCACTCGCATAATGAACCCACCCTCCATCTTGGTCCTTGAAAAAACGGAAGCAAAACTTTAAGCGCATCTGTTAATTTTATTTCAGTACGATAGCCAGTGCTGTTGATGATCGATACAATGTTAAATTTAGCTATAATATCAAAAAATTACAACGCAATAAAAAAGTGTGTTCGCATCACCTGCGCCTTCTGCACCGATTTATGGTGCATGATACCAGACCTCCATTCTCGAGTGCACAGCACCGCGGTGCTCGATAGCAGCACAGTGCAGGAGTGGTGCCAACACAGGGCAGAGAATTCTTGAACCTGCTCGATAAAAGGTGCTGTCACGGTGCAGCTCAGAAGCAGACGACACATTTCGCTGGCGCTTGATTAAACATGGCGTTAATCGTTTATGTTAATATACGGTGTCCAACATCAATTGTAATAGTGTGATAGTAACAGACGGCAGTGCGGAGATTCACGCAGTGGATGGTAAGAGAATTTCTTCGGCTGAATGCGGGTGCACGAGAAACGAGGCCTTCCGAGTGAGCATAGCAGGCGACAGTTGATGCTCCAGAGCCCTTTATATAAAAGAGAAAAAAAAAACAAAAAGCGATGGCGCACCGCCCGCACTACCTGCACGGTGGTGCACAGCAGGGGCAACACCTGAATTTTTGCAGCACAAGTTCTGTGTATCACACTGGAAACACACCTTAAGTCAAAACAGTTTCGCAACCATGCTGAGCAGTGCGAGCGCAGACGACGTCATTCGAAATTTGAAAGTCGCGCCTTTCCCAACAAAATGCCATCTGTCGAATGCAGGGGAGAGCCTATTTGCTGACAGCACCACACAAGCCCAGCGGCACAAAAACAAAGCACATGGTTTCCAATATGGCGAGGCGCGACGTAAAAACACTGCATGTGCCTGCCATCATGAAGGCCATGCGAAGCGCAACCGCAACTTCACCCACCACACCGACGGTGCGTCGTGCAACCGCACTGTCTACCGCAACGTTTGTGCGCCGCCCTACGACGCTCCATTTTACAGCAAAAGCTGTTATGAGATCAGAACGCAGGTCACCCACAGCGCCTTAGTTGTCCACCACCACCCAGGTGTTCGTAACCAGTATCAAAAGAAAAAAAACTAAATAAAAAACACCAATGACACAATGAGATTCGAACCTGGGACCGCTGCATGCTAACCCAGTATTCTACCATTGAGCAACGCCAATGCTTGGAACTCATTTCTAAACTGGCCTTAGGCAGGCTTGATGTCGAAAAAGGAATCGCGTGAATATGAGTACTAAAGCGTTTTACAACATCAAAAGAAGTGGCCTTAGGCAGGCTTGATGTCGAAAAAGGAATCGCGTGAATATGAGTACTAAAGCGTTTTACAACATCAAAAGAAGAAGAGCCAGGCACCATACAACGCGAATTACTTAATGAGTGGGTCATCCAATGCTGTGCTGCGCATTCTGGGCAGGCCTGGCGTTTTCTTTTTGTTGTCAGGTTTGTCGTCATGAACTTCTATGGGGCACCTGCTGCGCAGGGTGCATTTGGCCGGTACGCTAACTACACGACTGGTTACAAACAGCGTGGACTGGAGCATGAGAACTGAGCGGCTGGACGATACTGCGGCGTCGATCCATGCGGTTCCATTACGGGAGCAAGCAAAAAGAGCTTTGGGGCTACAAAAAAAATATATATGTGTCGCGCATTTCATGGGCCAAAACAACCAAAGCTGTCACGCAAAATATTCGCTGTTATAACTCCCGTGACTTCTTTCTCCCGCGTAATGAACCCTCCTCCCAAATGAGCATGAACTTTTCTGGGGAAAGAAAAAACCTAACGTGCGTTCATTATGCAAGTAAATACGGTATGTATTGATCTAGCTTTTGGTATTGTATCTCTTGTTCTTGTAGCTCTTGTTCTGTATCTGATGTCCAGGTGCTCGGTGGTCGCAAAAAGTCATGACTAAGATCTTCTTTGTCTGCCTCATCAAAAAAAGAACTCCTTTATGAGCAAACGTCTTGAAAATTCAACTAGACCTTTGTGGAGATTAAAAGTCGGATATATCGTGTGATATGTAGAACCAACAGACATCAAACTAGTGCATTCACCAACATGGAAGCTAAAGAATGCTTTAGCCAACGCAAAAGGAGCAGTTGCTAGACATGCGCAAAATGTAAGGCCGCGCTTGAGCAGATCTAAATCGACTAGACTTAAGCTTTTTGGTATGTCTACAACTTCGCTTTTGCCTTCTGGGTGTCACACTGGGGTCGCAGAATTTGGTGCCGTATTCACTGAATTATTCCTGTTTATGTTTACAGCATGAATATCGTTGTGCTTAATCTTTATCAGCAATTTATCTTCTCTACATCATATAAATAGGGTAAGCGCTTCAGTCTCCTCTTCAGATAGATTGACACTATCAAGCTGGTTGGCTACTACAGAAAGCTGATTACCACAATGTTTTTTTTTAAATGTCTAATATTAACAAAGACACACTTCCTTAACTGCTGTCCCATTGCTGTAATAGTTAAGGAGGTAGGGTACCCAGAGCACATCAGATTTTAATTTTAGGACATTCCAAAGTTTTTTCTTTTGTGCATCTAGAGTATTTCTTCAAATTTATTTCTTTGTTTAGTGAAAAGTTTGCAGGATTGGAAGAAACAACAGGTTCAACCAGGACCCCGCGACACTTGTACATCCTCACCTACCCACCACTTCCCCCCCTTTTTTTTTCGTGAATACTTGCTCCTTCACTCCCACAATTCGTCACAACACCTCGCCCCCCCCCCCCCCCCCACCACCTGCCTCTTCACACCTGCATATCCAAAGTGGCCCCTCCACATCCTTTGTAAGGATGGAGGAAAGAGTATGAAACATAGACGCCCTAGTGCTAAAGAAATCAATTCTGTTCTAGCCTTGACGAAGACAAGTTGGCTTGTCAAAATGTTAGCTTGACACAACCCCTGTTTATGGATTTTTCATCGCAAGCTTCCATCTTCTCCCTTCTACCGTCCCCCCCCCACCCCCTTTTTTTTTTTTTTTTTTTTTTGCAAAGGGTTGCAGGAATGCAGGGTTACTGGATGATGGTGTAGACAACTTGTGATGCTTTGTGCAACCAGTGATAGACACGTTTGCATTTGTCTAGCGTTTTTGAAGGAAAAGATGATTGAAAAGACAACATATTCGCAATTAGGTCACTGCAAGATTCACACTAGAAGTACAATGCAAGATGTTTCTGCAATAAGAATTTCGTGCTGGCCCCGTTTGCTAGATCATAGAGTTTCCTACACCACTTACAAGAGTACAGAGAACTCTGGTGCTAATGTCTATAAGAGCTGCAATGCACAGCACATGGAGCGTGAGAATGATGGGTAGTACACAAGTTGGTTTAGTCTTCGTTCTTTCAGCTCCATTGGCTTTGCTGGTTGTCTACTCGTGGCTGTCGCCTCGTGGCTAAACGGCTCCGTCGCCTCGTGGCTAAGCGGCTCCGGGCGCTTAGCCACGAGGCGACAGCCACGAGACGACAACCAGCAAAGGTTAAGCAGTTGCATTTCACCACCTTAACCTTTTAGGCTCACCCATTCAAGTTGGCTAACGAAGTTTACAATGCTTAATTTTCTTCATTCGAAACAAACAATAAACATAAATCCACAAGTGCGCTTGAAGCCCACAAGCTCGAAGAGTCCGCAAACTTGTGTACTACCCGTCATTCCCGTGGTGGCTGAACAATCACAGTGCCAGCGTCCCCTCTAGTTAATTTTTAGAGAACTCTATGCGCTACATGGCACGACCTATCAAGCCTAACCAGGCAAAAATACAGCTTTTGAACCAATCACACCACTCCCTATAGTAATGCCAAGTGGTTCCTTCTTCCATGAATCAAACAAACAGGCAAGCAGCATATTATTACATGCCCAGAAGGTTATTATTATTGCAACTGCTCTGATTACTAGTATTTAATTGTAGTTGAGCCCATTGACTTGCTTGGGACCATTTCAAAATGTCCCACTCGTGGCACAAGGTGTTGTATATTGACCTTAATTTCTGAATAAGTAGAGCACTGCTGTAGATAATAAAGTTCTAGATGTTCTCAAACATTGATCTTTCACTCTGACGTGAACTGTTATTTGCCTCTAGTGTCCCTTTCATACATACCAGCTTTGAACATAATGTTTGCCTCTAGTGTCCCTTTCATACATACCAGCTTTGAACATAATGTTTGAAACTTACTTTTAACATATCTTGACCGAGCTGAGCTGTAGAGGCCTCATCCCATGCCCCTCGCTAAACAATTCACAAAATAGTAAACAGCGCTTCTTTTCTCACTGACGTAACGGTGCGCCATGAAAGGTAATCCACCTTCTAAATAACTGCATGCACCAACAATTCTAAGGGGACAGACAAACAAGCACAAGAGACTCTCATCTAATCTTCCTTCTGAGTAGTGTTCATCAAATACAATGAAGCTTCGCTCCATCCAGTGATAGATACGACGAGGAGTGTCCATTCTGAATGTACCTTGATAGCCTCGTCGGTGCCCAGGATGATCTTGATGTTGGACTCCAAGGAAGGATTGCCTCTGGCATCCTGAAGCTGTACCACCAAGGGCTTGGGGATCTTTCCTTCCGATGTCACTGTCACAGGCTGCAAAGCCACATGTGCGTGGTCCACTGGAATGTACCCACTAAAACACTCCCTCGCCTCATTGAAAGCTTCACACCTACTTTGACTACCAGTAAATGTACAGACGAACACGGATATATCGAACTCAAAGAGGATCGCGAAATTAGTTCGATATATGAAAAGTTCAATATAAAGATATAAAAAAATACAGGCCTCGAGAGCTTAGATGTAGTGGATCATCACCTACAATAGGTGCCTTCAAGAATAACAACTAATTCCGCACACACGCCGCCACAGAATGATTTATTTGCGTGAAAAAAAAAATTGCTTCTCTTGGCCTGCTTCTTCATTTTTGAAATGTTGAAGACGCTAATCTTAATCTTATCATGGCTGTCCAGGTGCAACAGCCCAGTTCCCTCCATGTGGCCAATACAACAGCGAATGATGCCGAACAATGCCGCCACTTCAGTAGCGGAGTTTGCCCGTGTAGACAGCGCCTCCTCCGGACGATCCTCGTCGTCCGGACGAGGCATCGAAAAGGCGCTGAAACGGGCGTGAAAAGATGCAAAGGGGTGTTGCTCAAGCAGCGGCTGTGAACTTTTTTTCGAATAGCAGTCACGCTAGCTCAACAACCATCGCAGCGCTCTGTGAGCTGCGCTCTCATAGCGAAGAGACTTTGTGCGAAGTGTTGCTCACTACAGAAGTATTTGCGTATGTGAGATCGTATCCAAAATTTGTTGCTATTGCATTCGTTGCTTCATCCTTGCAATCGAAGTGACATTTTTGCGGCGCATTTGTTAGACCTGAACACACAAGTGTCAATTGCTAAGTCGATAAGCGTTCCATAATGCACCACAGCAGTGAAATAAATACAGTCGAACCTCGATATATCGAACGGCGCGGCGATCGCGAAAGAGTTCGATATATCCAGAATTCGATATAAAAAAATCACGAAAAAAAAATGCGTCAACAGCTTGCTGAAAACAACCAACGAACCGTTCAAGTGTGGTGCAGTAAATGCTCACTTGAAGATTCAAACATAGTATTCATTGTGTTGGTTTAAAATATTGAAAAAGAGTAGCCTGCTTTTTGTTGGCCATGGCGTGTTTGACGACTGCGTCCTCAATATAGTCCAGGGGGTCCATAAGTGATAGGCCGGTGCCTTCAATCGCACCGCAGTGGCGGCGCACAAGGGCCAAGGCAGCTACGACCTAAGCTGATGTCGGGAGCGGGGCACCATCAGCGCTTGCGGGATCCACCTCAGCAGAGTCTTCATTTGGCTGCTCAGCAGTAGCTTCGGCGACAATCTCCACATCCGTGAGCTCCGCCGTTCAGAGTTAGGCCTGTCGCGCACCACAGCGCGCGACAGGCCTAACTCCGAACGCACGAACACTGCGAGCACAACGACCGATGCCTGCCGATGCTACGGGGGAGGAGCTTGCAACAAGTGCGCAGTGTGCCGTTGACCCCATAGAGACTGCAACGACTGCAAGCTGCAAGGCTGCGGCGTGAGTCCGGGTGTAAAGCGCGCACATGGCGCGCCCATGCTGGCTTGCCTGACTGCTTTCCCTTTCCCGGCGGCAGCGCAGGCCGCCTCCGAGATAGTCGTCTGCGTCCTTTCCCTCCCATACTTTTCTCCTTAATCGTTACCTCCCACTTCCCCTTCCCCCGTGCGAAGCCGTGTCGGTGCCTTCGTATCGAAAGACGATAACAGCTCCGCGCTTTTCTCTTCTCTTTCCACATTTAAGAACCTCTACGGCAAGGCTGCGGTGCGCGTACGCCGCTACGTTAAAGTGGCGCTCTCGGCGCCATCGATGTGTGCAGCATTCGTAAACGCCCGCCGCTCTACCGCTACTTTCGAGAGTTGCAAGAGTTCGAGAGTCAATGGAGCTCGGGTGGTTTGGGGTGGCTGAGTTCGATATATCCATTATATGTCAAACTTTGTTCGAAATAAAAAATCAATAATGCATGCAATTTCCCGCGTGATATAGGAACTGTTCGATATAGGCAATAATTCGATATATCCGTGTTCGATATATTGAGGTTTGACTGTAAAAGTATGTGCGTGGACTCGACAAGCAGTCTTGTGCACCTGTTTTTGCTAGGTTTTTCCAGGAACCGGATTCCTACCCCACTTCTCTTGGGCACCTTTTTTTCCTTTCTGAATGCTGCCAGTACGTAACAAAAAAAAAATCAAAGTTCCCCTGCAAAGCCAAAGCAATGAATGTGATAGCAACAAATTGCAATACTATACGAAGCAAGGCCACCTAACTTTTCAGAATATATCACATAACTCTTCAAAACGGTGATATATGAGAATAAGGCCACAACAGGGAGAGATTCTCTTTGAGCAGTCTCTTCGTGTCAAGAGCGCAGCACAGGGAAGAGTACATGCGCCATTCACGCTCATGCCTGCCGAGTTAGCATGTGCGCCAGCAATCGTGACCATACCCTAACAAATCAAAACTATTACCCATTTCACACGAGTACTCAAAAACTCTTCTGCATAAGGCGTCTTATACAAAGTTGAAAGACTTTTATACTGAAGAGGCCTCATAGGCACACAACACCAACGATCTCTTTTTAGTGTTTTCTACCGTACACACTTTCGAAAGCAAGCGGCTAGCTTTCAAAGACAGAACCAGTGAAAACAAAATCATGTATTTCGATATAAAAGATTCCATGTCTTTCTCTAATCACTGTAGCTAATGTTTTTTGCATTCAGTAACTGGCATTGCCCCTACAAGTTACAATGCCATGCTTCTTGCGACCGTGCGTGAGATGCGCTAATTGTCGCCACGTATACCCAAGCCCATCGACCTGCTTACGATAGTACTCAAAGAAATGAGGTTTAAAGGGCTTATTATGCCTTTTACAAGATACAAAATTAATTTGCATAATGAGCCTAGGTGACATAACTGACATTTGACAATTTTTTCCATCGATTCATAATTACTGGTGCCCAATGGTTTCATGGGTACTCTTTCACGACTCTGAAAGAGATCCGCTAATGCTGTATCCAAAAAAGACCACTTCTAAAAGATCACTATTTGTCGTGTGCATGCAGGAGAAACTTTTTTTCAGAAGAAGTCTTCTCACTCAAAAACTTTTAAGTACTCATGTGAGAGGGGTGTAAAACAGTTTCGAAGAAATCAAAAACGCAATGTTTTCGCCATGTTTATGGGCATGGGACTTGATAGTCGTCGTGCCTTGCGACTAAATTTGGGTGCTTTGACATAGTTAAGTGCCGATAAGCAAGTTTGGCGCAAGGGGGGGTTGTTTGGCACAGGATGGCACAAGTGAACAAGTTTGGAACACAATAGCACAAATGACACAGCTGTTCCACCCCTGAGAAGTTCAATAAAAAGAAGCCACTGCCACTCTCATGCAGTCACAGACTTCGTAAGTTAGCTTTGCCACAATAGCGCGCTGCTATGCAATGCAGTATAACATGAATCTGAAAGGGCGCTGGGGACATTAGGTGTTGTGGGCAGGGGTTCAGCCCCCTTGGAATTACTTTTTTTCTTCTTCCTTTTAAAAGAATTTCATGTTCCACTACTTTCCAGAATGAACACCAAACCGCTAGAATTCATTGTTATAGCCGATAATGCTGCATGTGGGCATTACTGTAAGCAGGTTATTTCATCATAGAAAACATACAAAAGTTCAGGGTGCAGCAGCTTCTCATTGATAGAACTGATCTATTATTAAAAACTAGTATCGTTATAGGTGAGCTCAACTGCAGTATCTATCTCTTGAGGGATGGTGGTACATTACTGTTCATGATCCAAGAAAGCCAGCCAGGTTCACTCCCCATCATTTTAGTTCTTCTAGACACAATCACATGCTTTGGATCAGCAATCACTACTAGATGCATTCTTTTACAAATTCCAGTGTCCCGCTACATGTCCCGAACTGGTGTTCTCTTCAGCCATTGTTGAACGTTACCTTAGTTTCTAGTCTTAGCAGTGGACATGCTTCACTACAAAACCTGCATCACTGGCGCTGTATCCTGTCCTTCACTTTTGAATGCTCTAAAATTAAAATAAGTTCGACATCCTGCTTTTGCACCCTACCTCTGCAGGGTTGTAGTTTGTGTAAGCGAGGCTGGCTGGTGGACCAGGAACAATATTTAGCCGCAGGTAGTCTTTGAGCTTTCGCCACTGGAAACACACTTCCTTGCACCCCAGGCTGCTGTCCATGAACTTGAGGCCTTTCACGTGAAAGCCACAATTCTGCACAAAAAATTCAAACAAAGACTTTGAAGAGCCACACAGTAGACTGGACATCATCTCACCTCCTAAAACTAAAAGGGCTACTGACCACATTTTACAATTCTTAGCAAATGAGCACAATGCATACATGACCTCCGTATTGCCACAGCCAAGGATTGCAAGCTCCAGCAGGCGGCACAATTCTTTCAGGCTACATAGCCAAACAAATAAACGTTCTCACTTAAACTAAGGTCTTACTATGAGGTGCAAGAACTGTCAGTAATGGACAGCCTGTTGATGCACTTAGAATGCGTCGTAGTTCCAGCCAAGCTCACAGCTTGGGGAGGGAGGGGGGCTCACGGGGGGGGGGGGGGGGGGGGGGCTGAATTATTTGCTTTTTTTTTCTGCACCAAAAAAACCAAGGACAAATAAACAAACAAAAAGCATTGCAAAAAACAAAAGGGTGTGGGGAGTCTCAATCACAAGCGCAAACATCGGTGTTGTGGTCGGCTTGGAGTGGCCGTATAGACGAAGGTAGTGTTTCCTACTAAGGTGAGAGTCTCAAAGGATCAACACAACCAGCAGAATTTATTTCCTTCAAAACAGCTCGTGTATGTCTTAATGGGACACACGTGAACAGACGGCACGGCGCAGCTGGCTGCGGCAAAAGCGCGGGTCAAAGCTTTGCTCCCTACTAGATTCTTTTGACAGGAACGCCAAAACACATCTGGCCCCTTTGTTATTGACAGTCTGGGCTGGCTTTTTGCTGTCACCGTCACCTCCATCATTCACCGTATATGTATACCTATCTATATATATTAACACTGTAGAAAGGAAAGAAAGCCGCCCGCGCTAGGTGTCACACTTTGCCCCGCGGAGGAGAGGAGGGGGAGTTGATACTTGTGCGTGCGCGCTCATCTTTCGGTGGGGAGAATCATGTGCATTCGGCTTTCACTGGAACGATTGCGTTATCTTCGGTCAATGCACAGGCCCCGTTTGCGTAAAGAGCGCACTTTTCACACACAGCGACGTATAACTAGGACACGTGTTAGTTTGTACTCATCCGTACCTTAGTTATGTGTCAAGCATCGCTTTTTTTTGTTTAAGGGGAGACGCGGGTCGAAAAGTCGCGGTTTTCCGGAAAATTTTCGCTTTTTTTTTTTTTTCCGGCTGTATTGGCATCCTTGGACTATAATCTATTACTTCTGAAAATATCAAGCTGAAATTTGCACGAGAAATTATCAAAAAATGCTTCCAAGTGGGCAGCGGTGACGCGAGAAATGCGCGAAAGTCGCGAAAAACGGCGAAGTTCGCGTCGTCCTGTCGCGATAACGACGCGTTGGCCGCCATTTGCAATCGTGCACGCATGCTGCGAAGGCCGTATCCTTCATAATCCACTAGTAGCCAGTCTCGTGCCTTCACGCAGAATAAACAAAAAACGCGAAAAACAATGCGTACGTCACGCGTTTAGAATATCGCGGCACACAGCGCGAGGCCGCCATTGGACGGCGGTGCGCTCCACGCTCCTCCCCCTTCTATCTCTCCGGCAAAAGAGCAAAGCCTCGGACGTCGCGATCGAGTTTTTTTGCGTTTCTCTGCATTTTTGCGTCATGGCAAGCCCGAAGAAGTGCAGTTCAGATAATCGAAAGTTCATAACTCGCCACAAGTATCGAGGGAAACGGCGTCGGACGCTTCGCAAAGCGACAGCGAACGACGATGTCGCCCCCAACCAACGCCCCGACGCTCCGACTTCGGATAGGCCTAACACCGTGACCGAACCCTGCGACAGTGGTTGTGAAATAGCCGCTGCCGTGGAATTCGTCAGTGCATCCCAAAGGAAGATTGAATTCTTCGAGAGTGAACGTAGACCGGTAGATGCTGCTACTGCGAACATGCTGCTTTGCGAAATCGATGCGCTGACGGCCCTTGTGGCGGGTGCGCAATGCCCAACCTGCCGCGAACGGAAGCTCGGCGTGCGAGAGGCAGCTGGAAAGCGCAAAGCACTTTCGGCATTCCTCGAACTGTGCTGTCAAAATTCTGATTGCCCTGAATCTGCACTTTTGTTCACGCACACGTCGAGACGTACTGCTTCGGCCGAAACCAAGGAACGAGCGCTCGTTTTGACAGCGGCAGCTCGCGTGACAGCTTTGCTGTAAACGTGAAGGCAGTTCTGGCAGCACGCGCTATAGGTGCAGGCCACGACCAACTTTTACGATTTTGTGCGATTCTCGGTCTTCCGAGCTCGATGCATCACAAGACATTCAACGGCATTTGCAAGAAGCTCCATGGTGCGGCGATGACGGCAGTGAGCAAAAACTTGCACCAGGCACGAAACATCACGAAGGACGCAGTCGGCGGCAGAGATGTGCAGGTCATGTTTGATGGCACCTGGCAGAAAAGAGGTCATAAAAGCCACAATGGAGTGGGCACAGTCGTGTCCCTGGACACGGGGCTCTGCCTCGATTTTGAAGTTCTTTCGAACTACTGCCATGCTTGCAGTATACACAGGGACCTTGGGGAGGATGAAGAGATATGGCGAGCTTTTCATCTTCCAGTTTGCCAAAAAAACACCGACTGCTCATCCCATGCAATGGAACCTGCGGCAGCTGTCAATATATGGCGGAGGACCTTGTCTTATGAAACTCCACTGCGATTTACCAGCTTCCTAAGTGATGGTGACAGCAAGGCCTACACTGCAGTCTGCGAGGCAAATGTATACTGTGACACCCCCATTGACAAAGAAGAGTGCACGAACCACGTTGCAAGCGCTTGGGAACTGCCCTACGGAAATTGGCAACGCCACTGCCACGAGGCGAAAAACTGAAAGATGCGACAATAATAAAACTACAAACATATTACAAGATCGCCATCACGAGCAACAAGGACAGTGTCCGAAATATGTACACTGCCATATGGGCATCGTATTTTCATTGCTGCTCCAGTGATGGTGCCAGTAGCCACAACTTTTGCCCCGCGGGACCGAATTCGTGGTGCAAGCACAAGCGTGCGGAAGCACTGGGGGAGCCTGCACCACGCCACACCCCACTGTTGACGAAGGCTCAAGGATTGGCAATTATGCCTATCTACAAGCGCCTTACAGAGGAGAAACTCCTTATTCGGTGCCTTCATGGCAAGACACAGAATGCAGCCGAATCGCTGAACAGCAAGATATGGCTGCTATGTCCAAAAACAAAGTTCGCCTCCAGAACAACTGTGGAGACAGCCACCGCTATTGCTGTACTCTGGTACAACAAAGGCCACAGGGGCTTTGAAGAAGTGCTCGAAGGCATTGGAATTCTCCCCTCACAAGATCTGGCCACACATGGTGACCACTGTGACGTCATGCGCATCAGGAAGATGAACCTGAAGCAAACTGCAGAAGCGAGGGCACACCGTCGCAACACAGCGAAGAGAGCTCGTGTTGAGGACACTGACCGCAAGAGCGGTGAAGGACCAAGCTATGGTGCAGGGGACTTCTAGACACTTGCAGTGCATTCAAGGCAAGGTACTTTTCATTGTGCCCCAATTTGATGCAAAAAGAATGATTTCCTAATAAATGCCAACTTTGCAAACTTTCAAACTTTTTTTTTCTCTTTTTCATTTTTTCTGACAGTTTCACGTTTTCCGGGCAGCCTTTTAGAAACTTATATTCATTGTATAGTAACGAAACTTGGCACACATATTCTTCAACACATGCAGAATGCAAATATCTACTCTAAATTGCAATGCCTACCAGCATTAGTTGTGAAAATATTAGCTTATTGTTTCAAGGGAGATTGAAAATAATAAGTCATTCAATACAATTTTTTTTTCTTGGTTCCAATATTTCTGTGACATATCTATATAGATATTTGCACTTTTCAATCTACCAAGAGTCAAATAAGATCAGACACAGTGCTTTTACTGAAAGTTTAGTACATAAAAGAGTGCCCGCAAAAAAATGTAACTTTTTGCTATTGTTTATGGCATAACTCAATAATTATAGCAGCTACACAAAAAATGATTGCATATTTGAAATCTGCATGAAAAACTATACTAATAACAAACTTTTCAAGTCTCTATTACTAGAAATAAAAAAAAAAACTTTTTCGAGGAGCGTCTCCCCTTAAACAGCACGTTACGTGTCGAGCCGTAAACGTTGTTACTTTACTGTCGTCTTGTGCGTATTGTTTTCGTGCGTCATTTGTGCGTGAGCAGCGCACTGTGCGTTTCGATCTGCTAGCCATTCTCAGTGTGACATTCCAAGTTGTTGCTGTCGCATTCATTGCTTTGCTCTTGCAGCGAAACTGTGACTTTTTTTTACGTATTTACTGCCTTTAGTCTACCGCTGCGTGCCCTCGAAGCTCGTAGATTGCTATCGCGATACCGCGACCACGATGTTGTGCGCGGCGGTTGCGGCAAATGGTAGTTTTTTTTTCAATCCCCGTGCGCTTGACTGCGCACACGCTTTCAAAACAAAGTCGTTTTATGCCGTATAGGACTGCATCTGCCACAAAAACAGCCCTAGCCGAACAAAGCACCCGCTGTCAGCGCCATGCCGAACGTAACTTCTATTCCGGGAGGGGTCGCTACCGAGCAAGCGCTTTCTATCAAATTTTTTTTACTTTGGCAAAAGTATGCAATTGCTAAGGAAGTATCGCTTTAAAGGGGGGAGGGGGGAAGTGGCACTAAAAAAAAAACTGTTTTGTTTGTTCACCTAGAGCAATGAAATTTCGCATGCTTACTCATACATGTCTTGAATAGGGAAATATGCAGTTTCATCATGATACATTGAGTATTTTTCAAGTTACGTCATGCTATGTGGTACGACTTATATGGTCTGCTCGTGGAAAGCCTAGCGCAGTAACAAAACAAGCCAGGAAGCTGCAAATAGTGTTGATCTTTACTCAAAAGAGGACTATTGGGTATGACAATCTCAAAATTTTTTTATCAGTTCTCTCTTTTTTTGTTTATAAAGATCATCATAGCTGCCTAAACAAATTGTCAGAAGTGTCATGTACAAGTCATCTTTTAGAAGAAAAAACTGGGCCATAAACGAGAATTCAAAGATTGTGAGACCCTAAAAAAAATGCTTTCGGATTCAGGAAAAAAAACTGCATCGAAATCCGTTCAGTCATTCCCGTGCTACACTTTCCACAAGCAATACACAATGTCCAAAACACACTTGTGAGAAAAAGCCTGCCGAAGTTTTCTATCAACTTTTTTTCAACAAACTTTCTTGTTTCTGGTTGGATATTGATGAAAATTGGCACAGACACTAAAAATTGTCTCCCAGTGCTTCCATAAAAATTTCGAGGTGGTACGGCAAATACATAATGAGAGAAATTATTTCTTCCTTGAACCTCGTGGAGAAGCTGAGCATAATGCTAAAAAAAAAAAATCAGTATTGAGAAAACTGCGTGTAAGGTTTCAGCTTCTCTTCAGATCTCTAAAACACCTAAAAATTGTGAGGTCAGGTTTGTATTTCTTGCGATATTGGACTTCTCAGGCATGTGGTCCTTGCCCAATCGGCCTTTTTTTAACTTAGTTAAGTACTTGATTACACATAATCACTGAACATTATTTTTATATAGAGAAGTTTATTGCATCAAAAAAAATGGCTAAATAACAAAGTTATTGGAAGGAAACTGGTGGCACAAGAATTTTTTAGCAGTTTCTGTAGAGGGGCCCTGAAACACTTTTTAGAGTAACCATGGAATTAATTTACTGGAAAAGCATATTACCTCACATATTCAACGCCGCAAAATTTTTTAAGAATCCGTCCAGTACGAGCGGAGTTACAAATATTTGTCACACGCTGCAATTGCATCCTCCCTTTTCTCGTTACGACGAAAGTGCTGGAAGCTAAGCAGGGAGGGATGGGAGGGGCAAATAAAAATGTCACTCACGCTTCGTGAGGATACGCGGCTTTTTCAGTGTGATCGTGCGTGCACGCATAGAAAAGTGACAGCCTCTTGCGGCGACCTCTGTAACAACGGAGCGCGCCATGTTCAAATCAGCCAATGGCTTGTGGATGGGCTTACTACGAGTGATTTTTGGGCTTATTTCGTGATTTGCCGAGAGAAGAGAAAGCAATTTTTAGCTGAATTTGATAATTTATTGTGAATTCCAGGTCGCGCGCTGCTGTATAATGTTTCGCTCGCGTGTTGTTGGGAGCCTCTACTACCGATCGGCAGCATTTTCTGACCATGCTCAAAAAGTGTTGCAGGGCCCCTGTAATGACGCGAGACGGGCACATAAAAATTCATGCCCCTGTTTCATGCATGCTCTTTTGCCACTATAGCCATGAAACACATTATCATACGGCCGGTCGCACAAACGCTAATCTACAAGCCTTTCATTGTCTCGGAACATTCATAGACGCTCGTGGCGATACCAAACACAGCTCCAAGCATGCATAAATCACATCACAAAAGCTTATTTACAGCAATCATATAGCCGTGGAGTGCGCGACCGCGTGGACAGTGCAGCCGGCTTAAGATGCACTCGGCAGCGTTCAGTGACACTGCACAAAATCTGTAGCTACGATGACAAAAAATTGGCATGCACTGTGCTTGGTATCGCATTTTTGAGTGATGACGCGCGAAACTGGTAGCCGCTGTTCTGAGTAATCCTTGGAAGTGGGGGGAGGGGGGTGACAAGCTTGACAGCGGAGTCCGCTGCCGATGCGTAAAATGCTCGTCCGCAGCTCTGAGGAGCTAGCGAGCGATATACTTCGTTGCTTGCAAAGAAGCACGTCATTCTTTCCCGTAGTCTCACAATCAGCAGTTAGGCCTAAAGACGACTCCGTTGACGCGCCCGTTCGCAATGACGCGACGCGCTTGTAGACCGCATGATCGCTCATAGTGATCTGATCGTGCATCCGCTTACAGCTCCTAACTAAAGCGTAATTATATCCTAAGTGATCGTCGAGCCGTGAACACGTCATAAAAAAGCAATTTTCGATAGCTTTGTCCTCGCGACGCACAAGCAGTAGACGACGACCTCCCAGAGTGAGCATCGCGCCAATGGCGAGGCGAGCTGAGGCAAAACGACAGCCACAACCAATCAGGGGCCTCGAAGCGACCTTCAAAATTTACTTTTTGTGCGCTTGTTTTTAAAGAAAAGAGCCAGCTGAGACGGGAAATTTAACCACAGAGAAATTCTTTTTCCGATGAGCCCAAGAAGACGGCTCCTCGCTGCACCATCGCGAAGCTATCATTTTTTGAAAACCACTGTTTTCTCGCGATTCCCCAAAAGTTTCGCTACCTAGGAGGGCAAAACGAATTTTCAGAAGCACTACTGCGCGTTTTTCAGTGTAGATGTTTTGGAATCGGGCAGAAAAAGGGTTTCAGAAACAGAAAGTTTGATTTTTAAAAATCCACTTTTTTTCCATTTTTCGCGATACTGAAGCCGCGGTATTCCTTACTGCTTTTTTTTCTTTTTCCGAGTCGACAAGCAGACTGTTTCTTGCCTTCATAACACAGTAATCACTTAAAATAGTGCATTGATTTTCATACGATGCATTAGCCATTAGTAGTAGTAAGCCACATTAGCAACATCGATCCAAGCCAAGCACGGCAATCTCAAAATGGCCACCACCCGTGTTGACACTGCAGGCACGCTGCTCCCGTCCTGGAAGTATGCCAAGCGATGTGAAAAGTCCATTATAAAGGAGTGCTGACTACATTTCTGGCCTCTTGTTTCGGCCAATTATATCCGAATGACCGTTGTACTCGGATACATTGAAAACGACTCTTGATTAATGGTACCAATAGGGAGATCAACATAACTCTGCAAATTGGTATGTAGTATTCGAATGCCTGTTATAAGCAGATCCGTTGTAACAAGGTTAATGCAATTGGGAATCTACAGAGCCACTCCTCACAGTAACACAGGACTCTCTCATGCAGTGCTTCTACACAGCCAACACAAGAGAACATTCTTGGATGTCATTGGCTCTCCCACTGCGAGCTTCTGCACAGACCTCGCTCAGGAGATGTCCTCGCTTCGGAAGAAAGTGAAAGAGCGCCAGCTTAAAAGCAAGAATTAAGTTGACCAACGTGGAGCTCCTCGAGTACCCAAGTTCCAAGTTGGAAAGCACATGAGAGTCTACTGCTAGCCAAGTTCAAACATCCAGGTGGATGAACAGAAGAAAAAGTGGCAGACTTACCTGGTCTAAGGACTTCATTACATCGTCATAGTTCATGCCCTCAGCTATGATGAGAAGCTCAGCAAGGTCCTTATGCTGCAGCTGGAGTTAAAAGGAAAAAAAGAGAGAAGGAAAAGAACGGCATCAGAAAATCAGAATCTGGTAACCCTCCAACTGTACACTACAGCAGTGCAGAAATGGGAGCCTCTGTTGAGCACAACTTTTGTAGCTAAACCACTGGCACATTTTGTGGAGGTGCTATCACCCCCTGTAAAGCCGGTTGTGCCTCATGGCGCACGTGCGTCTCACGGATAGACCACATTTAGGGGTTAACAACCGCAGAGTCACAGATGGCGCTGTGCTTGAGAGCGTTATATCATCATAATCATTATGGTTAGCATAGTAGCGCCAGCAGCGATGCCTATCAGCGAGACTGTGTGGCGGCTGATGCGAGCGTTTGTCTCCCGTGGTGGGTCCACGGACACGGCATTGCGGGTCGTCTCCCGTAGTGCCCTCATGGCGAGTCGAGCGCTGGCGAAGCCGTTTTCGCGTTACCTTATTTTCGCGTTTGTTATTTTGATTGACCGCAAGAGAATATTGTATGAGGTTGTGTTAGCTTGTTGATCACTAGTGATGTATTTGATTCGGCTGACAATATCATTGATGTAAAAGTGGTTCAATAAATGTTTTTGTGTGGTTTGGTCCAATCGCATCTGACTGTGTCTATTCATTCAAAGAGCAGCGATCTCCTCACGAAACCCTCCCAATTCGCAGTTGAATTTTGCATGGAGATGTCATTTCATAGTGAACAGTTTAGTGTACCCTCCTATGTAGTACTCGGTTAATTATTCCAGCATGAACAAACGAGCATGTATCTGTGATAATGAGTCAAATACAAATCAATCTGGCAATGAACCATTGGCATCACTGGCGTAGCCACTCACACACACACGAACACACATAGAGTATGGGTTAACACCCCCTTCCGCAAAACTTTCCAGCTAAGCATTATTTGTTAAGGTCAAACAAGAGACACTTATTATCCCACTGAGATGGTGAAATATTGCGTTACTAAGGCGAAAGCCTTATGCAGGGTCTTTTTTCAAAGCAATACAAATTTCTCCTTAAAAAAAACTATCATAGGCACTTGTCGTCTGTGCAGCCAATTTCCAAGACGAAGCATAAAAATTTTGCCACTAATTAGATCACTTAGAAATGATTAATTGATAAAAATAATTGAATTAACAGTTTCTTATTATTCTAAGGTGGTTGTTTACATCGCAAAGTTGTTCTACGTCACAAATTATGGTGAGCCTAGTTTTTTAAAACTGAAACTACCACGCATAGTTTTGGAGATCTATTGTTGAATTTCCAGACCACGGTGCAGGTGAAACTAACGCACAGAGTGCATTAGTTTTGATGCACTTGAGTGGTTTTGCCGCACTCGGAGGGTTAGTTAACACAGACCTTCTTTTCAACACTTTCACTGAGAAGCGAGACTGGCAAACGAATGGGGCTTGATCTTGCTATCGTATTTCAAGGCTCAAGACGAAGCTCAAGTGCCCACAAGCTTTTTATGGTTTCGTTCATTGCCATGGCAGGATTCTTACCTTTTTGATTGGATTCTGGTACTTGTCAGTGAGACTGATGAGAATGTCCGACTGGTGGACTTCACCGATCCGTACATCCGTCGTCCCTTTGCATGACACTTTCAGGATGGCAGGTTCACCATTCTTTGGCCTGTGAATACAAAAATTGGCCAATGTTTTGTGGTGTGACAGAACTGCTATTGACATGCTCATAACTGTGCTTGTACAAGGCATATGCAGAAACTAGCCTGTGGATAAGGCCCCTCCCCCTATGGAGTTGCTCTTCAATACCAGACACACTAGTCGACTCCCAACGATTAGAAGCCGCTTAATTGGAAGTAAGATGGGGTCTCATCATTTTGCAAGCAAATCAACGAAAAAAAATGCTCGTTACTTGGAATCTAGAAGTCTGAAACTTTAGTTTATTTGAATTTTCAATCGAATTCCCGGAGGCAATTGTAATTTTAAAGCACAAAATAACGATGTCTGTGCTGCCGGCACACAAGGGCAACACAGCTGACCACAGCGCCACAGCTCAAAGCTTCCTGCAGCTTACTGACACTGTTGGCATCGCAGCTGCTAACAGTGTCCCAGACCACAAAGCGGCAAGGTGCGAGTGGCCTATGCAGTGAGCACGCTCTGGGCCTAACCGTTTGTTTCATTCAGCAGACTTAGGGTTTTCACATGCAACGGAGCTCTACATGTATTTGAGGTGCTAAGGGAACTATCGGGCCTTACCAGACGCTGGACTTGGCGATGAAAGCAAAAATTTTGAAAGTGAAACTAGAAGGCACTGCCAAGAGAGATATTTCCTTGAAACATGGCATCAAGCTTAATACCCTGTCAAACATCCTAAAGAGCAAGCGCTCGGTGCTAGACGTGTTTGAAAATGACCAGTTCAATACGTCTTGCAAGAGAAGCATGCGTTGCTTGTCTGGATTCAGGAGGAATCAACTTTCCCTCAGGGGCAAGATCGTTGCAACGAAAACCTCATTGCTTGCGACCATGCTAGCCATCGTGAACTTCGCTTTGTCCGATGAATGGCTTACACGCTTTAAGCAACGCCATGGTATAGTGTTTAAAAGCGTGAATGGCAAAAAACTGGTCGTCAATGTGGCAACATGTGCTATGTGATGAGAAGAGAAGCTTCGCGAATACTTGGGTGAATATCGGCTGCAAGATATCTTCAATGCAGATGAGACTGCACTTTTTTACAGATGGTTGCCAGAGAAGACGCTGACCTTTAAAGATGACTGCGCTGGAGTTAAGCAGAGTAATGAAAGAGTGTCGCTGCCGATGGCAGTCAACATGACGGGCTCTGAGCAATGTCGCTTGCTCGTAATCAGTGAAGTCGCTAAGCCTAGATGTTTCAAAGGTGTGAGAACACTGTCTGTAGACTATGCGTTTAACAAGACAGTGTGGATGACCGCAGGCATATTCAAGGATTGGCTGATCAAATTGGATCTCAAGTTTGCATTATCCAAAGGCAAGGTGTTGCTGCTTGTTGATCAGTGTACCGTATAAACTGGAATATAAGTCGCGATTTTTTCAATAAAATAATGAGCTAAAGTCGCTCCTTGTCTTATATAGCGGTGTCTAGCCGAAAGTGCAACGCTGTCTGGCAACATATGGCTTGCATGTGCTTGTGAAGCCAGACGCGGCCATATCCGCATCCAAATCCAATCGCAGTCTGTTTTTTTTTGTGTGTGTGTTTGTGATTTGCTTCTGATCCGTTTTGAGTTTTCGCTCCACTTGACTTTGCACTGCATTTTTAGTGGCCTTTTTTTTTTTCGTTCACTGAATATGTCTAGCGGTGGGGGAGGCAGTACTCAGCCGCGTTTAAACTAGATGCTGTTAAGTTCGCAGAAGCAAACGGGAATATGGCTGCTCAACGCCGCTTTGGTGTATCAGAAAAAAGCGTGCGCTATTGAAGGGCGCATAAAGGGAAGCTGCAGATGTGCAATTTTCGAAAAATGTCGTTTCGTGGACGAAGTGCCGTTCATCCGCAGATGGAGGATAAGCTAGCGGACTTTGTGCGGGAAGTTCGCGCGCGCTCGCTGCCAGTGACCGTGGATACCATACGCAAGAAAGCCGTGGAACTCGATCGGGAAGCTGGGCTCACGAGAGAAGAGTTTCGTGCACCGAACTCTTGGGTGCGTCGATTTATGCGACGCAAAGGATTTTCTCTCCGGCGGTGCACATCCATCTGTCAAAAGTTGACGGAGGAGTTCCTCATAAACATTTAGCGCTTCGTAAACCGGCTTCGGGAGCAGAACGACTACATGATGGGGCAGATTGGCAACGCCGATGAGACCCCCCGTGTGGTTTGACATGCCTTCGTCGACCACGATCACGCAGCGCGGCGCCAAGGATGTGAAGCTGCTGTCCACTGGCAACGAGCACTCGCGCTTCACCGTCATGCTGGCATGCACAGCAGATGGTAGAAAGCTTCCGCCTTCCGTCATTTTCAAATGCAAGACAATGCCGAAGGAAGTGTTCCCGCCCGGTGTTGTCGTTCACGTCAACAAAAACGGATACATGGACGAGGCCATGATGCTCGAATGGATACAAGTGGTGTGGAACCGTCGGCCAGGTGCACTGCTGCGTCTTCGCAGCATGCTGGTGTTGGACGCGTTTCGTGGCCACTTGACCGACGCAGTGAAACGCGCATTCGGCGACGAGAAAACGGACCTCGCAGTGATACCAGGTGGTATGACGTCCACCCTCCAGCCGCTCGACGTACTAAACAAGCCGTTCAAGGACCAAGTGCGGCTGGAATACCAAGAGTGGATGTGCGGCGACAACCCCAAGACACCGACGGGCCGCCTACAGAGGCTTCCGCTTGCGACTGTTTGTGGCTGGGTGCTTTCTGCCTGGCGCTCCTTGCCGGATTCCATGGTGGAAAATTCTATCAAGAAATGTTGCATCAGCAACTCGCTGGATGGCACTGAAGACGACGCACTGTGGGAGGCAGCCAGCGACAAACTCTCGTCTTCAGAAGACAGTGGTGCTTCGTCGGACGAATAGGATGCGATGGTGGTAGAGGGGAGCTCCAACGATCAGGATGCGGTGCGCCAATTCGCGAATAAATGTGGTTCGGCAGTTTTGGGTTGTTTTTCTTTTTTTTTTCTTTTTCGGTAACCTGAACTTGGGGTTCGACCTATATTCCCGCTCGACCTATAGTCCGGTTTATACGCTAGTGCACACATGAACATGCCACCCTTGAGCGCCATCCGTGTCGCTTACTTGTCAGCGCACACATCAGTATTACAACCGATGGCCCAGGAGATTATGAAGAATGTGAAAGTACTTTATCGGAAACCTCCTCTTGAGCGGATGCTGTTGTGTATGAACAATTCAACCTAATATGAGGTGAGCCTTCTCAGCGCTATACATATGCTTGCACGGGCATGGGGTCGTGTAAGAAAAAGACCATAGCCACTTTAGCTTAGTTACCAATGCTGCCGATAATGATTCGTCTTGTACAGCGGGGGAAGCAGACAAAAGTTAGATTGAAGGCGACAGTATCCTGCCAGCTCTCCGAGACGTCCCTTTCGATAAATATGTTGCTCATGACAGTGCTCTAGAAACGTGCGTTTCGTTGACGGACGCCGAGATCGTCGAAATGGTTCAGCCCAGCGAGGATGGTCATAAAACTGAGCTGGACGACAATGACGTTCCAAGTGAGCCAAACTGCGAGCTGCTGATGTAGCCGCGAGCCTTGCCCTCCAAAGGTGTTTTTTGCTGCCGAGAGCAACGCCGGGGAAGGTTTGGGGCACAAATACAAGGACTTGCTTTATGCTGCAAGATTTAGCAGGCAAAAGCAAATGGCAATCAATGACTTTTTTTTTAAACTGCTTTGAAATAAGTATATTTTTCCTTTGTTTCGGTTAAATGGAATTCCGTTTGTTTGGAAGTTTTTGGCGGTCCCCGTGAACTTCGTATTAACAAGAGCCAACTGTACACTGTTTTCCCAATGTTGCATCAGGGTTTCAGGATAGGCAGTGACTTCTGCATGAAAGAACTGCCAAAACTCATTGTGCTCAGGCAAATTGCCCCCATACTTGTGTAGGGGCCGCACTCTTTTGTTTCGAAATTATTGCTTGGTGCGGCCCTCACACGAATCACGCTGATGACAGCTCACCAAAAGTCTGTACCGTTTCCACAACAGTAGCAGAGTGAAAGAGTCACAAATGACTAGCCAAAAATGTTTTTATTAAGATGCCATTTCTGTCTTCGTTACCGGAAGCACTCGCCTCTGCGTTGGCATCCTCCCACAGATGATCACCCTCAGTGCTGCACATGCAGTTTGAAATTCCGGTTACTTTGAAGCTTTTGGCAACTACTTCAAATGACATAGCATGCCATGCACTCAAAATGCACTTACAAACTTGTAGGAGCGATGCCTGCTTCAGCCGTCTGGTTGGCGTCTTCTCATGATCGCCCCCAGCCATCCATTCCGATGAGCAGCGGCGAAATTCCGCTTTAAGTGGACGGTTAATGCACACGTCGAGCGGCTGCAACACACTTGTCAGTCCTCCAGGAATAACAGCCAAGTCAATACAAGTCGTGGCGAGTCTGTTCTTGACGCGGTCCGTCAAGTGGCCCCTAAAACTGTTCAGAACAAAGAAGGCTTTCCACTGTAGCAGGCCTCCAGGTCTGTTTGCCTAGACGGACTTCACCCAGTTCACGACAAGTTCCTCGCACATCTAGCCCTTTTCTTGGGCATGCACAATGATGCCCCAAGGAGACTTCTCTTTCAGGAGAGCCTTCCTCTTGAACCAGACGTATGGCAGAAGTTTCCTCCAATCTGCCGTCACGCACAGCATCACAGTGCACCTTTGATGTTCTGGGCCGATCGTGCGCACAGCCACACTTTTCGCGTCTTTCAAGTCCACTGTGGTGCTCTCTGGTGCATCAAACCACACAAGAGTCTGGTACGGGTTGCAAATTCGGAATAGGTCATAATCTTCTTCCCTTCGAAGACCATTCACGAAGCGATAAAATTTTAGTCACCTAACTTGTGTGCTCACTTGAAAGCCTTGGACAAATCCTCGTTCGGCGCAGATGGCAGATGAAGAACTGGTTGCGGTTCATAAACCGCGTAGCCCATCCCCGACTTGCCTTGAATCGTCCTTGAGGGATTTCCATAAGGCGAGCAATGTCTAGAGCTTTCTTGCTTATCATGTCAGTCAATATGGCGTAGCCGTCCTTTCAAGTATTGATGACATATTTGAGAAGTTCCCCTACCAGTTCCGGATATTTGCACTACTTCCCGCGAAAGGCTTTTCGGCTACGACTGGTAGCAGCGAGGGCATCTTTCTGCTTCATCCAATAACGCAAGCGCTTCTCATCGTACTAGCGTCCAGCTTCACGCGTGCAGTGCTCCTTGGCGTATTCAATCGTTTGCCGTTTAAACCCTGCAGTGAACGACCTCAAATACCAGCCAATCGTAAGTCACCTGCACTGGTTCAAAGACAAGACACCAATTCAACGAAAACGTACTCACTCGATGCGAACGATGAGCCACACAAAACAAAAATGGCGCCGCCCCGTCCGCCACTTGGAGGTCCGTCACTGGCACAACGGCGAAAGTGGAAAAAGTGGCAGCGTCATCTAGTCGCAGTCAAACTAACTACACCTTTAAAGCGGGACTTTTTGCATTTTTTCCCCAAAATTTCTCTCTCCACAGTAGAGGTGCGGCCCTTAAACGAGTATATACGGTAAATGCTAGAAAGCTACGAGTAGGCAAGATAACAATATTGGACTTACTTCACAGTAAAAGAAAAGTCCACGGCACGACCAGAGTTGATGGACATGTGGCAGAAAAGAGACTGCTTCACAGATGATGGGCAAATAATGTCTGGCAGGCGGCCTGCCAGGACTTGGTCCTTTGGGATGTCGGATGCCCAGTTAAGTTTGAGCTTGGAGACGAGACTGCTGGTCAGAGTTATGGGCTTCCCTATTTCATCACGCACCTCAAATCCTGCAGCCAACAAAAAAAAAAAGAGAGATTAAGTTCACTACTATTAGTATGCATAATACATAATACAGACAACAAAGATATGTTCGCACCCAGTTGCCCTCCAACCTTTCATAAGTGGCTAATGGGTTTCCACTGATTGATGTAGCCAAAAATCTTTTGCAACAGCTCAAGGACTAGAAAAGTTCTTCGCTTGGGGGCAGGAATTGTCCATTTTGGAGCAGAAGAGACGCGCTTCGGAGCCGCTCTATAAATCTCAAAGTCAATCTGATAGAATCGTTAAAGCCTATACCACATGGCACTTGCAAATGTGCGCCTGCGCACAATGTCAGCCACTGGAGATTATAAGGTGCTTCAATAAGCTACTCTTCCTCAGTAGAGCTGGTGTCTAAAAAAAGGCACACACTGCATCACGTAAAGCTGCCAGAAAAATACAAGCGCGTACACAAGCGCACTGTGCATAACAATGTGCATGATGAGCAATCATGCCCAGTCATTCATAGTTCTGTATTGGGCTCTCAACAACACTGGTCATCTCCAGAAAATTGTATTTCTCTGGCATGTCTTCCATCCTGGTCTTCCATTGGTCTTCCATCCTGAAAAAGCACGCTTGCTGAAGATTCGAACTGTCCATGTTGGCAAAACTGTTCACAGATCACTGGTCAGAAAGCTTTATTTTAAATACCAAAGTTTTATTATTCATAGGCACCCAAACCAAAGAAGTACTTCACGCCCATTTTTGCAATTGTTCAGGTAAGAATGAAAATTTTTATTAACAACATTATTGTACTAGATGCACAAGTATTTTACATTTTAAAGCCCCCTGAAACTGGAAATTATGGTTTTTCCACATCAGGCACTCAGGACAACAATTCTGAATGCATGAAAGGTTGAACATTGAGATCGTCAAAAAGTTTCCTTAAAGAAGTTCAGACCCAAGTACAGAACAAACAACTTATAACGTAAGGTGTGGGAGTCACAAATATCCACACTATAAGTAGTATCGCACTGTAACCAAAACAACATTTTCCAAGGGCCACCATTGTGCAAAATAGTGTTGACCAAGCAGCATCGCGTGTTTAAGAATTGAAGCACGCGATGCGTGGTGCTTATGACCTTTTAAATTTCCAAATGTTGAAAAAAACTATAACGTCCAAAGACGCGTTGCCAACGAATTGAACACGAAAGAGGGGGAGGGGGGGAGGTCTCACAAGAGCGTGTATCATTGCAGAAATCAGCCAACTGCTTATCAGACCCCCTCGATTATGCGCACTACACGAAATGTCGAATCACACCCGGAATTTCACGCTCTGCATGACGCCGATCGTTCCATTTCAAGGACGCGTTTTCGGTTTCAAGACGTCGCAATCGAATCGCAAACGAACGTTCGAGCACTACACATGCCACCCTCGTTTAACAATAGGGAGTTTTAGTGCTGGGTACCCAAGCGGCTTGCGTACGCAGGACGTTGAGGCGGCGGTATTGCGCATGCGCGAAACCCCAAACAGATGCATCGCAAGATCGCTGGGGCGATGGGGCCATGCGTCCGCGCGGTCCACCTTAGCAAGAACTCACGGTATCCGCACTGCGGATACTCTAGCCATCGAGTTAAAATAGGCCAAAGTGCGAGCACTTATAGCGATTACATGGTTTCAGCCAGATTTTCAAAGCTAGAATGGCCTGGAACATCGAAACTAAAAATCATATGCCAGCCCCGACTAGCTGAATAGGTGGCGCCATCTAGCGCAGCCATAGTGAAACAGACAACCACAACTTTGTTATTGCAGAAACATTGTGCATTGTACATCTGGTGCAAAAACCTTTTTATTCATTTTTCACCTCAAAAACATTACGTGTAAGCTAACATGTTCATGACTGCGGTTGCACGAAGTGTCACAAGATGTAGACACGTCGTTACAATAACCTTGTATTTCACTTTTTTGCGTATACCAGATTACCGTACACTTAAAAAACGTGTCCTGATCACTATGTATGTTTAATTTAACATTTTAAATCATAAAAAGACTTAAATAATACTTACGCGACAAGACGCTATGGCTCTGCGAGCGCGTGTGAACTTCGTGCGGCTTGCGTTTGCGTGCGTGCCACCGTGGCGCCAACTAAAAGGCATTCCGGTTGGGTATGGGTTGGGCACGCAACGCCGCGCGCTTCCAAGCCCGCAAGGTTCCAAGAGAATGCGTACCCAGCACTAAAACTCCCTGATACGTATCCCTTCCCATCAAGTGCAGCCACGACAAAGAGTTTTGTTGATTTCGTAACAAACCGCGACTTAGATTGCACAAGAATGTTACTGAAAAGCCTGCCGTTCGGTATGTTGTCGCGGCAAGTTTGTCCAGGACATGAAGATCCAGTGTTCAAAAGAAGGCATTCAGGCGATGAACCAAAAACAGCGTGTGTGATACAAAGTTGCATGCACGATCGGCAGATCAACAACGAAAACCCACCAGGCCAACGTTTGACTGCGCACTGGCAGCAAATGTGAGAGCTCACGTAACAAAGTCGTAAAAGCTTTTAAATTTACGGATGAGGTAGTGAATGCGATCTCTGTAGCAAGCCCGGTAACACCGAGGAAATCGTCAAGTGCAGACAAGGATAAAATCGCACGTGCCATGTTGAGCCGCACGCTGTCGAAGCCACGCTCCTTTTCCTTACTTGGCGAGCCCTCGCAGCATGCCTCGGGTTTTTTTTTTTTTTTCTCTTTTTTCTATTTTTTTATTCCCACATTTGTTCGCTTCGCATCCCTTCAACCCTCCATAAAGACTTCGTCACTAGCTCCCTAGCAGTGCACCTGGCATGTCTCCTTTCACGGGCACGATCGCTACCGCAATTGTCAAAAAACTTTCCGCCTACTGCATTACAGTAGACTACCGATAATTACAAGTTGGGTAAATTTGAATTTTTGGTTAATCAGAAGTCAAGAAGTGGTCCCGTCAATTTTGCATGCATGCCTATGGAAAAAAATGCTCGACAATTGAAGTTAAAAGCCAGTAATGTTGGTTCATTCCAAGATATTTTTCAGTCAAGAGGCTCCAGACAACTGTAATTTTTTAATAAAATGGGAATTTTTCATGTGCCATGACAGCTGTCGAATTGCGCTGTTGTCACCATTGCCACTGCTCGTAGCACCACGGCTCATGAAGTGGCCATCTTGCTTAGTCAACGCCGGGACATCGCATTGATCGCGTCAACTGACTAGGTATTTCATTGTGATGTGTCGAGTGCTTCAGCCGCACGCTGGGTTGAAGAACAGCATGAGTGGAAGCTGGCAGAAAAGAGTGCTCACACACACACACACAGTGAAGAATGTGTGTGTATGTGCGTGTTCTGCTTCGTCCGCGTCCAGTTGCAATGTTGCAATGTCCATAGCATGATAAACCAACTAGCCCACCAACACACAGTGGGTTGATTCTGCTTTCAACAACTGATTTTGAGTGTTGCGGTAACGACGTTTGATAATGACAACTCAAGGCCTCTACCCAACACTTGACCTAGCAACGAAAGTCAAAAGTCTTGAAAGAAGTGACCAGGAAGGTTCTGCTAAGCAAGACATTGCACGAAAGTATGATGTTAAGTCTAAGTTGCTCTGGAATTTCACCAAGTGCAAACAGGTGAACTCGACGATGATAGTCTTGGGGCCGCAGTAAGTGATGCCCATTTTAAAAATTCCTCGACGTGGACAGCAACGTCAACAAATGCGATCCACTAACGAGCAGATAAACTGTGTAAATAGCTCGGCTAGTAGACGACAACAAAGAAATGGACTGCCACTGAGGACTACCGATGTTGCTATTTTCTAGGACAACTGTCAGGCTTGAAACAATAAAAGTGTGCATTTTGCTTAATTGGAAGTTCGTTTATTTCAAAGTTTTTGCAGTTCCCATCAACTTTGTATTAATGAGAGTCAACTGTATAGCCGGTATTTTATCATGGGGAACTGCACAATAATCGGTATGCATATACAGTGAAATCTCGGTATAACGAACTTCAGGGGGCTGCAGCAATTGTTCGTTATTTTGAAAGGTTGTTATAGTGAAAGCCCAAAAACTAACCATAAGTACTTATTTTTAACCGATTAAAACGACTTATCTCTAGAACAGTGAGTCCTTGAACTTGTTTTTCATGAGAAAAAACAAATGCACACGTGAACACTAAAAAATGCCCGTTTACTAAAAGAAGTCTGTGATTTATTTTATTTTATTTTATTGACGCGTGCAGCACGAACATTGCATTGCGAAGGCCACATTCTTGTGGCGCAATTTGGTGGTGTGATCCACTTTCTAACTTAGCGAAAACTGCTTCCGCTTTTTCCTCGCAAGCAGATGTTAACTCATTTAGTAGCACCGTAACGCGAACGCCGACTTGCTTTGCGGACGCGATAAGTAATCCCCGAAAAGAGATGAACACGACTGACAAGGCCTCCTAGAGAACATGTAGAAGTGACAAAGATAAGAAAAACCCAAACCGTATGGCTGTCATCGCCTCTTCAGTACAGTGTGCCTCTTCCGAAGAAAAAAAAGAGCTAAAAAAGAAAATTCCTCGCGTTTCGTTTCCTGCTCCCTCGCTGTCTAAGGTTTTCTACACCCATGCTTCCTGCTCCACAACTCTCACTCTGCCTCGCCGAACTTGCCCTCCCGTGCTTCCCTCGCCCCTCGCCGAGGCACTTGTAAACCTGCAGCGTCGCCGTTTCAACAAGAACAAAAAAATCATCCTTTCGTTTGTTTCTTTTTTATTTCCTCTGCACCATTGCGCGTGTTCTGAGAAGCAAGGTGTCTGTTCGCTGTGTCGTCCGCTTGCGTACCACTCCGAAGGTCACTATGGATTTTAGAAAATGAGTTCGTTGTACTGAGGCATTGTTAATACACCTAATTTTCTCGCGTAATCTTTGCACTTGCATAATTCTCGCACCCCCCACATCGCCCAACAAAAATACGATCTTTTTTTTTTCCTAGAGTAATTATTGCACCCTTGAAAACTGCCACAATAATGTCTGCTCGTTCCAACCACTAATGATGATAGCAGCCGCTATCTGACGCCATCTCTTAAGAATCCAGCGTACTACTATTGCAAGGAGATTCAATCCAATCCAAGAAGAGCTAAAGTGGCAAGTGCGCATTGCGGCGTATTTTGTATGTTGTGTAGGTAATCTTGTCACGTTGTGGGGCGATACTGAAGCTACACGGCTGCTTTCCAGTTGAAAGTGATAGATCATGCACTAAACAACAGCAACAGGGCCGCCGATAGGCTTTTCAGAGTCTATGATATGAGTTTTGTGTTTGCTACTGGTGACAGCAGCTGAAAGCCACCAAGACGCGTTGGGCCTGCCGTGTGCCTAAAACTGGGATTGATGGTAAGCTTTATTTCTTCAGAAGAAAACTGCGGACGATCCTGTTAATTAGCCATGAGCCCAATACTGATGTCCTACACTTACCTTTTGAGGGCTCCTGTTGAGCGACGAACGCTACTGCTACGCCCGCAACACCCACAAGCTTTGCATATGGTATTCTAATTCTCGACTATTTGCTTGCGCCTTTTATGTCTCAAGTAAATCTTGCCTTGTGTTGAACCAGTGCTTTTATTGTTGAGGTAACTCTTAATTAGTTTTTCTCAAAGCTTGCTGTTAGTTGCTGGTGTGAGAATCCCGATTCGCGGCCAGTTCGTTTTTTTTTTTTTTTTTTCTGCTCTGTACGTTCTCTTGGAAAGTTTTCCCCGTGTGATTCTCGCACCCACAAATTTTGCATCGAGAAAAAAAAGTACGAGGATTAGGTGAGTAAATACGGTAATGCAGAACTAAATTAGTGCTCGTTATTCTAAAAAGTTCGGTATTCTGAAGTATGTAGTAGTGAAATAATTTTACATTAAAGCTATTAGCAGTTGGCAAGAGATTTTTTAAAAGCTTGTTAATTTGAAAAGTTCGTTAATGTGGGGTCCGTTCAACTGAGATTTCACTGTACTTGGGGTTCTATAGGAGGGTGAATGGGAGTTGAAAAAGACGGACTGTAACCCGTTTTACACTATAAATTATGTACACTGTACTACAGTCAAACCTCGTTAGTGCATGCCCGCCTTAAGCGTACTAACAGTTAAAACATAGTTGAGACAAATCCCCTATTGAGTATAATAGAGATTAATGCATTTTCGGAACGCTTAAGCTGTAGTGTTTGCCTTATGCCTACCGGTTAGTGCGTACTAACTGGGTGCCACGATAACATTTTGCGCCACAAAACTATCGCGTTGCTGAACTTGCAGATGCCACAATGTGCCGTCAAAGATTTTCCATCATGTTGATAAGTGAGAAGATCAGCTAATAAGTTACCCCGACTCTCGTGCAATCGCGGCGATGACACTGTGAGTAATCATCATGGAAAAAACGAAGGCGAGATGGCGACCACCAATACAGTCGAACCCCTTTATAAGAGACACTGATATAAGAGACAAATGGGTATAAGAGACGCCAGTGTGCCTACAGTAAAATACGGACTTATAAGAAAATGCATGCAAGGTACCCTGCTTATAAAAGACATCTCATATAAAAGACAAAAATTGCTTCCCGGACCATGTCTCTTATAGAGGGGTTTAACTGTAAACGCACCGGTATGACTTATCCCCGACAACAAGCCTCATCACAGAAAGCATCCCCGATTATCTACTCAAGCACGCGTGTGGCGTAGCGTCACTTTAGGCCTACTGCCTACTTTTAGTAGGCGACTACCTGAACGCACTTGGCTACCGATGGCTGCCACTTCATTGTGCGGGACCATGTTCAAGCACGCACCGCTTTACAGAAATGCAAGCAGATTGCTGTCAGAGTGTTTGTTGTTGCAGGTAGCGGGCATCGGGAAACCTTGCTGCATTATGCCAACACTCTCATTGTAAAGCAAGCGTAGCACTGTTGTAACCGTGTGTCACAAAACGAGCGCTCAAAAACGGGCGCGCCGCCTAATTCTCGCGACGAAGCGCCGAGAGGTCAACGATAAAAAAAAAAAGAAAACAAGCATCCAATGACTCCCCGGGCGCGCGTCCTTCTCCCCTCGGAAGCGTAGGTTCGTCGACGAAACCTCCTCGCATAGGCGGCCGAGCAAGCCCTAGAAAATTCTCGATGGAAAGGGGCGTGGTGATGCCGGGTTGAGTCATCCGTCGCGGACGGCCTTCGAACCATCTCGCCCTCTCCCCAACCTTCGCTGCGTATCGCGCCGATGAAATGATGAGAACTTTCTGGGATCTCGCGCGGAAGGTATTTAATCGAGCAGCCGAAACGGGAGATCAGGAGAAGACGGAAGTTAGCGCCAGAGCTCGTAGGGTATTCCGCCGTGTCGTCGGCGAAGGTTTTGTCCGTAGTGACAAAGCAGGAGAAGAAGAGGATTTCCACCTGAGGGGTGAAGGCTCGAGCTACAGGCAAGAGCGTGTGTCTACCGCTGTCGAGCGAAGACGCGTGGCAACAGCTGCGTGTGTGAAGCCGACGTGTTTCCGGCGAAGAAGGTTGAAGCTTGGAGAGTGGCCAAGTGAAGACGCGAGGTTTCCTAGAAGAGAAACTTCGGGGGCAATCGAAGGTTGAAGCTTGGAGAGTGGCCAAGTGAAGACGCGAGGTTTCCTAGAAGAGAAACTTCGGGGGCAATCGAGGTTTCCTGGAAGAGAAACTTCGGGGACAACGGAACGACAACAACGCTGGACTTTGAGAGAGTGATTCTCGGAAGAGTATCATCCAGACTTTTGTTCCAAGAACTTTGGACTGAATAGGTTTTCTATCCCTTTAGTCTTTAAGCATCTTGGTTGTTCAATGCATGCGACTGCATTGTAGCGCGTATTGTTGTCTGTGTCCGTTGTTTCGAGTGTGGCTGATTGTACTGTGTAGTACGTTGTTTGATTGGTGACATATTGTACTCAACTATTGTGGAGTGTGAATACTTGTTTATAGTTTTTGATCTGCCATTAGTGAGAATATAATTTTGTTTTGGTTATCAACTCTCGGCTCTGACTTGTTCTTTGGGCCACAGCCGGCGTCCGCTGGCGCGCCAAAAAGGACCACTTCTAAATTGCCCACGCTTTCGTGGTGCGGTTCGGGGGGCGGATACTTCAGCCCTTGGAATTAGCCCGGCGATCGCCTCCCGAATTAACGGGACCTGTGACACCGTGCTGCATGCTTTTATTCAGTGACAGCCCAAACGCGGCTTCCATATGTTGCCACAACATTTAAGTTATCTCAGAAAGCACACTGCTGGCTGAAAGCTCTTTGTCGTTGCGTCAACCCAGCAGGCTACTCACCACATCTGTGCATGGCCTAAAGCAGAGAGGGCATACGCTACAGCTGCATGTGTGCACCGAGTGTGCGAAGCGCTGCTCGCAACTAGTCATGCAGTAGAATTCTTGGCTCTCTGTAACCTTACCACGCTTAGAAAGAAAAAACTGCATCAGTTTTCGCTTAGAAGCAGACTACGGAACAACTATCACGGACAGCCGGTTATGTCCGTTCTGTCACTGTACCACGCCGCATATTCCATACCTCGCAATAGTTTCGAAATGCTCACCGGCGTCGCCACCGCGTGCTATCGGGCGGTTGTGTGAGAGTTTGAAACTTTCTTGCACCTTAACAAAAAGAAAGAAATGGCTTCGCGGTGGACACTTCAGGCAATGTATCCCGAGTTTATTCCTTTGTTGGCGGTGATGGCACATGTCAGGAGATACAAATTTGTAGCTGGTGGTTAATGCATAGTGCCTTATGTCGCCATCCCCGGCAGGTATATAATAACGGGGTTTCACTGTATGACCAAGTTTTCTGAGAAGCTGATTTTGGCATGGGTACTTTTACACAAAGAATATGAAAGCAGCACTTACTGAGCCCCGTGAGTGTCTCCCCTGCCACCCACGGAAGGTCTCGGCCATTTTCTATTTCCATTTCCTTCCCATCTTCTCCAGTGCAAGAAAGGCGCAGAGCAGCTGCCTGGTGACTGGGCAGCAGTGTCAGCACTCTCTCCACATGTGCTATGTTCTTATAGTTCTGTAAAAAATTTAAACGTGAACAACAATGTGAATAGCTGGGCCAGTCAGCACATGATGCAAGATAAAAACTAGCAGTAAACGCAGCAGACAAAGAAGCAGAAAGCACCAAGATGACCTACTGCTTCCTTCTTTGTCCTTTAGGTTTAAAGTTGATTTTCATCCCGATTCAAACAAGTATGCTGCGAGACAGCACCGCAGCCCAATATGCATGCAGGGACTTTGAAAGACTAACTCTAAAACACACATGTGTAAACACCCAAGTAGAAATGCTGATATAATGAAACAAGCTGGATATAAGACGTTGCTTTGGGCAGTCATAACGTTGAAGTGTCTTAGTTTTCAACAAAATACCATATACCGTCTACGCTCATAATAACAGACCCGGGTAACACAGGCTTTCGGATACTGTGGACTATTATTCAGCCTAAGTTTGGTCTGTGAATTAAATTAGTGGAGCGAAATTCACTTTTAAGAAATCGTAATATAACGAACTATCAGCTACAGTGGAAGAAATCGATGACATTTTTTGTCAAAATTCGGTGCATAAAGTGTACTTTTGCTGCACTGACACAAGCTAACAACAGGCTTGACCAGGCAAGATCATCCCACTACAGCCGCAGTATTAAGGGGGGACGTGGCAATGGAAATTGTAAATTTGGTCAAAATGTTCAGTTTTTCAATGAAATTTTTTCTGTAATACTGAGACCATGTTTGACATCGTAGTGTGAGTTTAGATCAAAATTAGCAGTACAAGTTGCATACCTGCCAAGTTCAAAGATTCTGAATCTGGGAGATTTCCGCTAGGACGGGGGTGGGTGCGCTGAATCATTTGCTTCTATATTTTTTTGCTCGAAAAAAAAAAAAAACTAGGACAAACAAAACACATGAGGGGGTGGGGGGGGGGGTGTCAATCTCAAGTGCCAACATCAGTTTTGGGGTCTCATAGTCGTTTGAAGTGGCCGAACACACGAGGGTAGGGCTTCCCACTAAGGTGAGAGTCTCAAAGGATGAACAGAACTAACAGATCAACAGAACTATTTCCGTCAAAAAAAAAAAACTCGCGTATGTCTTCCAGGGACACACGTGAACAAATGGGACGTTTTTCACTGTTTTTTTCACTTTTCAGCATCATTCACTGTATATGTATACATATCTATATGTATGAATACTCAAGAAAGAAAAAAAGCCACCCTCGCTCGGCGTCCAGCTTGTCGCGAAACGGCAGTGCTGCAGAGCCACTTTTTCCCTTTCTTGGGTGAAAAATTTCCCTTGATATTCCTGGATTTTTTCGGAGAGCGGTTTATTGAAGACAAATGTGTTTGTGCTGTGAAAAACAATTTCAAAGTTCACTTTTATGATATTGCCACGTTCCATTTCCCAAGTTTTGTTATTGTCCCAAAACACTACTCAATTCTCAGCGCAAACCGCGCCTGCAGTTTTCGAGAAGCTTCTGGACTGTAGTCGATCATTTCGATAAGATCACGCCCACTCTGCGAACGGTACAGATTATTCTGGAACCTACGCCACCGCCAGCAGTAACGCTAGAACATTCGACGGCAAGAGTATAAATGCCGACGCGTTTCGCCGCTTGTTAGTTGTTGATCGAAGGCTGACGCTCCGTTCGCCGCTATCAGTCCAAGACTGCTATCTGTGCAAGACTGCTGCTGTAATTGGACTTTCCGTTTACCGGGCACAGGTTCGCTCAAATAAACAGTTGAATCCCAACACGAAGTCTCCTGTCCTCGGCCAAGTCATGACCCCGTGACAATATGATTAAATTCTTCCGCCACGCTGACTCCGACATGTCTGAGAAGAAGAAGGTCCGTCTACTTATGCGAGGAGTAAAGCAGGAACTCTTCGCCGGGCTGATCATACACCCGCCGAAGACGGTCGCCGAATTCATTTCGGAAGCATCTAAGAGAAGACGCTCGAGATGCGCACGCGGCAATATAACCGTAGCTTCTCATCTACAAGCTACGCCGGCATTCAAGCGCTAGGAACCACTGACTTGCGTGAGACGATCTGAGCGATCGTGCAAGAGGAGCTGCGAAAATTACTTCCTTCAGCGCAGCTTCACGTGGAATCCATCGCAGACGTCCTACGCCAGGAGATCCAGCAGTCGCTGGGCGTTCTTCAGCCTCAAGAGCCGCAGCTGCAAGTCATGAGCTATGCTGCTGCAGCACGCTGCCACGCCCCTCCTCCACGGGCACGCCAAAACGCCGCCAAAACGCCGCCCCATCGCACTTCCGTCGCCAGACGCCACCGCCGCCACCACCCTCACCGACGACCTACCGTTCGCCAGCGGGCCAGCGCAGTGGGCCGAGGAAAACCAACGTTTGGCGCACCCCTGACCACCGCCCACTGTGCTACCACTGCGGCGAGGCCGGGCACACTTACCGCCGTTGCCAGTACCGACAGATAGGAAATTGAACGTGGCAATATCTTCCGTGAATAGCGCCAGGTTCCTCACCACTTTCGCAAGAGTGGTGCGCAAGGAGAAGGCCGCAGCTCTCCTCGAAACCCACAAGCAGATGCCAAATGGAATGTGGCATTGTGTAGTGTTTTGGGACGATAACAAAACTTGGGAAATAGAACGTGGCAATATAATGATGCATACGTTTGAAAGTATTCACTAAATCCACCGTGCTGAAGGTGAAAAATTCGCTGTTCATCTCTCGCAACCTGCTGAATGGTTGCGAAAAGATTCGTTTCAAATATATGCATTCTTCCGCTAGCCTCTTTTTTTTTTCTAACATTTTTTTTTTTAAGAGAAGTATTTTGGTTTGGGCTAGCTGGTTCATAGTACACACTTAGAAAGGGCAGTGCGAAGACACAGGGAAAAGAAAGACAGTAGAGACAAACGGCAGGTGTGCATATTTTCAGCTGTTCATATAAACGCATACATGCATGCAGCCTATTGCTCTGGCCGCGCTTTTCACAGAACCCTAGGTGACCTTGGAGGAGCCACATGGTTCCACGGAGAAGCTCACTAGCAAATTGACAGCATTCGCAAAGAAGGGAAACCGATAAAAGGACAACAAACGAAAGAAAGAATAACGCCGCAGGTGAACGGCGAGAAAATGGGAGGTTGGTGTAACGGAAAGCACATACTTGCCAGGCTCAGGAAAGACGAATTTTTTTTCCTGTTCGAGCCGGAATTTAGGCAATAGAAGTCGAATATGGACGGCACAGAATGAACCACAATGAAATGAGGGAGAGAAAAGCACTGACACAGCGTTGGGGGCGAGAACGGCCCTATCGCTCCCTTGCACCCCTGGAAATCACTACTGGGCATGACACAGCACCTTTGGGTGAGGGTAGAGGGGGTGTGAAGGAAAAAAGGTGGGAAAAGGAACAATAAAGAGGTTTTGGGCGGGGAGTCTCTCCGTCAATTTGCTTGTTCACGTGGAAGCGAGAAATTTCCCTAGATGCTGATGAATTTGCCTTTTTCCCTAAGTACCACCAAAATTCTCTAGATATAAAGAAATTTCCCTAGAGTTGGCATCACTGCGATGCGCCGACGCGCGCTTATCCCATACTTTGCCTAGCGGGCTTATCTTTTGTTGTGAAGAATTGTGTGCCTACGGTTTTCACTGGAACAATAGCGTTAGTTGACGTGCTCACAAAGGTCACTTCGGTCTCTGCACAGGCTCTGTTTGCAAAAAGAGTGCGCTTTTCATACACGTTTTTTGGCACTGAAAGAAAAGTTACAGAGATGGAGCTTCTCCCCATAAAGCACTACGTGAAGTAATCCATTTTGGCGCGTGTTTTGCAATGCTGTGGAAAGTGACGAGGAGCACCATCAGCGTTTCATGTAGACCCAGACGCCGCTTAGCGTTTGAGGTGTACGTAAAAAGGCGGAACTTTTTCACATGTTCACGAATGCAGTGAATATTCGCATTAAAAGAAATACGAATATCTTACAAATGTGAGCTGCGTGCTGTCTCAAATAGCTCCTTGTAGAAAATAAAGAAGGAACCTTTATATTTCACATTGAATATACGTGTGCTACTTTGAGATGTACGTGATTTGGCTCCGTAGCTTTCCCTCCAGGGCCAAGAAAAGTTGTTGCCGAGTAACTCATCTGTACCCGTGATTACGTATCGTGGATCGTTTTTGTATAAAGAGCGCGTAAGGTGTCTAGTGGTAAACGTTGTTAGTTCGCATTCGTCCTGTGTGTATCATTTTCGTGCGTCATTTGTGCGTGAGCAGCATGCTGTAAGTTTTGATCTGCTTGCCGTTCTCGGCATGACACTTCAAGTTGTTGCTGTCGCATTGATTGCTTCGCCCGTGCAGCAAAACTGTGACTATTTTTTTACGTATATTCGGCCTTTAATCAACCGCTGCGTGCCCTCGGAGCTCGTAGATCACTATTGCTTGATCGATTGATTGATTGATTGATTGATTGATTGATTGATTGATTTGTGGGGTTTAACGTCCCAAAACCACCATATTATTATGAGAGACGCCGTAGTGGAGGGCTCCGGAAATTTTGACCACCTTGGGTTCTTTAACGTACACCCAAATATGAGCACACGGGCTTATGATAATTCCGCCTCCATCAGAAATGCAGCCGCGGCCGCCGAGATTTGAACCCGCAACCTGCGAGTCAGCAGCGTAGATCACTATCGCGTCGCCTGCGACCAGCGCACGCACTGTAAAAGACAGTGCGTGCGCCGTTCGCACGCATACTTCCAAAGCTTCGAGTATGCTGCTCTCGGCCTTCATTCGAAGATTTCTGTACTAAAGTTCATATCAACCGCCGAGATTAAGAAATGTGTTTGGTACATTCGAATTTAGGCTCTATGGACATAGTGGAATTTGGCTGGGGATTTTCACAAATTTGTATTTCACACCACTGAGCTTCAACTGTACATTTAAATGAACGCCTCTTATATAATACAAAGGGGTAGGTCCGAAAAGCCTGGAGCAGACTGAGCTGCTTTTTTTGTCAATGTGGCCAGATCACGCACAGAAATTTCGATTTCCAGGAGATTT